TGAAGCGTAGGTGGAAACACGAAGGTCACTAACTCAAAATCTATTCTTGGTGATATTGTAAACGACAGATGTAGCGTACATTAACGTGGCTTCTTTGATATTATACATTACCAGGCGTCTGCTTTTGGGGAGTTGTGCAGTCGCTTTTTGGGCGAAAGCTCTTGTATTACAGTGCGAAGCTTTCTCAATCACAATACAAGCTCTATGTTGCAGGCATTTGTTTTTGTCGCTTTGAACTGTATCCCTAGTACGAGTTCACGAACTTGAATATTTTGGGCATACTCGCGCCTCGACTCGTTTTATAATCATAACTATTTCATGAAACTGATATTTATAAATTAAACTTTGAGTACGTTTAGTTGCAACGCCTTCGTTAACTTTAACTACGAGGCCCTCCAGACCTTTAGACTTCTCATTTACAATTGCCTCTTTAAGTTTTTGGGCATGTAATAGAAACGGTGCTATAAGAAAATTACTTTTGTATCTTATCCCTTACAGGACCATAAGATGGCTGAGACTAAATATGCTAATATAACACAATATTTTTGCCATTTTGTGTGTAAAATAAGATAATATCATTTGAATATCAGGGTGTATAGATTTCCTATAATTTCATACGTTTTATTTTGACATGCACTTAAATCATCGGTAAGGAATTTTGTAGAAGGAAGAACTATTTCTTTAGAGCGTGAAAGGGTTAAATATTAAAAATACCTATGTGATGGTTAAAAAAAGGCCGATACAATCACCGTACCATATGGTCATGCTAGGTATGTCATGATTAGTCTAGTTGAAGAAACTTTATTTCTTTCTAAAACATATCTTACAAACAGGAGATGAGCTGATTATAGGTAGCCGACTTAAGCAATACCCTTGGGATAATTGTTTCCTGGTTACGCATAAAAATTTCCATCCCTGTACAAATACTGTGCGTATTGATATTCCATAAAAACTTGTTAGCCGTGCGTGAAATGTATGAATGAATTCAACATTCATTGAATTGTACTTATGTTTCCTTTTTCCTATTAGTTTTCCTGTTAACGCAATGTATCGTGTATTTTATATTTTGCGGTTAACGCCCAAACCGCAGCGAGATTTCGTCTCTAAGTATTCACGACAGCGTTCCAAGATTGAAGCCGCACAAAAGTTGCAGTAAATGCACATACAACTTTCCATTTTATTGTATTTGTCTACACAAATGTATACAATACAGAGTGTCAGTTTATTAGATTCAATAAATAGCTTTAATTACTAAGATGGACTAGCTGTGTCAGCGACTTCGTCCGCGATAAATAGTTATTTTCGACATTAAAGTTTGTTTTTGCAAAACTCTTCTTAATTTTTTAAACTCACGACGTCGCTCGTTTTTGTAGGTTAATCTTAAAAGATAAACTGTTACTGTACATTTTTTTAGACCATCTATAGAGAAGTCATTCTTCCATACATATTTTTAGAGTAATTTGATTCACAGCGCACGTAATGGAAACCTTGAAGAATGAACAATTTTTCCCTTGTACCGCACTATATTAGTCCTTTTAGACGCACTCGATTTAATTAATGCTTTAATCTACACAAAAATAATTTTCAATTCGATCCAGTAGTTCCTCAGATTAGGGCGATCACACAAAGTCTTCAGCTTTAAAATCATTAGTATACATTACTTTTATCCAAATATATTTTTATTCTTACGTGTGTCTATTTTGACGTTACTTAACAAGCCTGCTTACAAGTAAATCTCCTACTAAGAATATGACTCAATGTTGATGTAGATATTAAAATCCAGAAATTTGAAAACGTCCATTGAATCAGTACGTACGTATGGCTCATTGTATTTTCTAAGAATTTCTTACTCAAGGAGGCGGGATATTAACTTTTCCTTATTGTGTCTGAAGTGCTGATAAAATATTCATAGGAAAAGATTTATTTTTTTTTAAGATATTTTTATATAACAAGTACTTCTTTGTTTTTTATTATAGATGTTCATATTCAGTATCTGCGTGTTTGACATGGAGGGAACAAAACACGTGAATCCTTCGTTATAAAATAAATTATCTAATGCTATTTATAATGTTATTTACGATAGTTTCATAACATCTTTACGATTACGGAACAGAAACGACGCACGCGCACGCATTGATACAAATACATTTGATATCGTGTTATATCACAAATAAGGGCATCAATTAACTTGCCATTTAAATACGTGAACACTTCCGATCACTTTCTTGTCATGAACATAGAATAAATAATTGACTTTAGTACCTGTCTATAGTCGGCAGGTGTTTTAAATGTTACCCGAGATGCAAATAAATGTACAGTCGGCTGATGGTAGGCGCTTTGGACCATTTGTAGCGACTTAAACTAATAATTAACGGGTTTTGGGTTTGATTTAAGTCCGTTCGGGTTACTCACCGCCGAACACAGACTAAAAGTGTTGGTAATCGCGTTTCGTCTGTGTCTGTGTTTCGTGTGTGTTTTAGTCTGTGCGCTGTCTAAAGCCAAAAAAGGTCGACATCGTATCTTACTTAGATGATATATATGTCTAGGTTACTTCACCTTCCATAAATTGATACCTACTTGTCTATTCTTCTACGTGAGGGACAAACAAAGATGTACATAAATTATAAACATACTCTTCGGATTTACATATAGCTATCGAGCGACGTGGACGAATTTTTTTTTTGCCAATATTTGATAAATATTTCATACATTTATTAACTCTCCTTTTTCCAATCCGAAGAAACAGATGGCGCCATTGTAGAAGATTTGACTTTGCCATTGGCACACCATCTTAACTATTCTACAAATTCGGATTGTAATTTAACTTAATTTCACAATATACATTGCATTTGAACCTGTTTAAAATTGTTTTATCTATCTTTCACTTTCATTTGTTTGAACAAATTAATTTCAATACATAAAACGTGTGAAGTATAACGCAGTTTGCATGCGACAAAATTATCGCAAAAGCGCGTCCAATAATATCGGAAAGCGGTCATTGCACCTTTTAAACGACCGCCAAGACGAATAATTACAATATATTTAGTTTAATGTACGCACAGGTGCTAATGTAGGCCACATTACATGTTGACTGTGGGTTTAACTTCATGGAGATTTGTAAGTTTTTTTTTTATGATAGAGGAGAGGATGATAGAGGACTGACACGCATACGGTTCACATGATGGTAGGTGATATACCACAACCTGCAGTATCTAAACATGATGCGCTGTTTACCTATTTTGGCTTTGGATATTCGGAAGTCCACAGACTGAAACGGAAACGCGATTAAGCTTCACGGCTTTTTTATCTGTTCGCGATGGTTGTGACCCGGACGGAATTTCTGCATTACACCTATTTAATATTCAGATTTCCAGACGAAGTCCAACATGTTTCGGAAAAGTTAGATGCTTGTTGGGCCCTGTGGGACTCGAACCTACGACTATTCGATTATCAGCCATACATTGCTACCGTTTAGACCAACGAGCGTCAAGTGTATACAAATAACTTATTTTTGAACAAAATGTATCGTCCGTTCTTTAATGATTCGTAAAATCTAAGAAGGACGCTGCATTGAATATATATAAGACATGAAATTTGAAATCGTCTTAATAAATCAGGTTATGAAGACAGTTAAACGTTTATGAAGCCCCTCGGTGCTATATTTTTTATGGACATATAATGATACCTTCTGGCGTTCTTTATTTGGATCTATAAATATTTATTTTTAGACGTAACGCTATTCCTTTTATTTCATATCAATTATGTTGACTACGAAGACAACATTTGGCCATGGTTATGTTATTACTAGTATTAAATCAGCACAAAAAATATATTGTAATTATTTTCGAAAACCCAGTACTAACTATTTGGACATCAAGACTTTTGGAATAAATTATTTCTAAGTACATTGTATGAGTGACACGTTCTTAGAATTCTTTGTTATAATTTGATTTCCTAAAGTATTTTGGGTTTTAAACCGTTATGGATTTTTTAAATATTGTACATCCATTTACCAACGTCTAAATCTATGGAGTATAGAGTCTAATTATTTATATATATATATATATATAATTTTGTCTATAGTCTATAGACTATAGACAAAAATTTGTTTAGATATTAATTTGAAATTTAACCTTATAAAAGTAACAAAAGCGTTTTGGTAAATTACGTAAAATGTCAACAGAAAGTTCAACTTGGGCTTGTGTTATATTGGCAAATCTACATCTTTTAAGTAAAACAGTTTTAACCATTTAAAACGCAAAATATATTAAATTTAAAATAAATTGTCGAATATATCTCGCGTTTTAATCCGTTAAAAGCGTTTTATTTAAATGTGTAGTACTCGCATAATTTAAAGACAGTACTTAAGTCTATATCTCTATGAATTTATGGTTGCAAAACATTAGTATCAATTTATACCCGAAAACAGGTGTAGTTTTCCAATAACACAGTAATTTGACGCCCGGTCTAATTTGAACAGGGCTTAGCTTACATACTTGAGGTTTTAGAAAGATATTAGGTAAAATAAGACATCGTCACATATTGACATGCGGTTTTAATTACTAGTACGTCTAGTTCTGTATGGAACTTGCATACGTGATATAGAATAAGCTCATAAAAGGGCTTATTACCAACAAAGAAATAAATACACAACAAAAGCTTATACTAAAATTCAACGATTATGTATTTAGATTAAAGGTTTGCACAACATTGCTATATCGATAATAAGATACTGTCTCTAGTTTACGCCAGTAGTACACACATAAATATAAAACACTTTGATGGTCAGACTCTACCGTTACCACGGCCGAAAGCATCCGAAAGTCAAGCCGTAGTCAAGTAATAATTTTCAAATAATTTAACTAATATATTAAGCGTTTTAAGCCGTTATTTAGAAGATAGTAAGATTATTGAGAGCTATCTAAAAAGCTGAATGTCGAATTACCGCTAAAGGCACCCTGCAATGGATCTTGTTTTGAAGTAACAACATATTGTTTCAGAATTCTTCCGGAAACTCCTGCAGCTCTCTCGCGAGGAGTTCCATGCGATGTTCAAGCGAACATACGGCATGATCTACGAACAACATTCCTATGTCTTCGTGCAGCTGTTTGAGCAATTGGAAAGGTGAGATATTCAGACAGAGTAGGTCATGTACGCACAGTGCAGCGAATCAATATTCGATATAAACATTACAAATTCTGTATCTCATGCTAAGCTATTGGCGATTTAAGCTGGCTTAACTCCTGTAGTGGTTTATTGTAATAATAACTATCTTAATTTGGCACTCATTTAGTACAATGCTATAGTTATTTGGGTAAACAAAAGTAGGTCTACTAAATACAGTCTATAGTTCACGCGAGTCGTACACATTTAAATAAAATACTCTTAACTGTTTGTAACACGACTTGTATTAGTGAATAATATGATTTAATTACAATTAAAAATAATTTGTAATTAAGCTTTCAGTTATACATGTCGCGTTTTAAACTTTTAAAGTTTTTTAAGTTTTTTAAGTGTTTTATTTAAAATAATTAAGTCTAATGTTGTCTTAAAATATGACAAAAATTTTAGGTATTACACACGCGGCGACACTGACTTCGACGAGATGATGGACAGTTTCTTTGGCATCCTCTACCAGAAAATGTTTACGGTTCTTAACTCGCAGTACAGTTTCGATGAAAAGTAAGTATAACACTACATATAATATCAATTTATTGTACCACATAACACTCGCATTATACTGCTTACTGACCAAAGTAGTCTAAGTAAGGTGCATAGTTGACGATTCCTTTTCATTGTTGTTCAATTCTTAAGACATGGAATTTGAAGCTTATGTCAATGGAATATGGTTTAATCTACCTTACGGCAGAAGATGTTTATAATCCGGCCCTGAAAGATATTTAGTAGACACTTTTATGTGTCTCGTCAACAAAATAGTCATATTTGTTAGTATTGTGTCATTTCAGTCATCAAGTTACGCTGTTAATAAAATGCATATTAGATAAACAGTTTTATACGTATATAGGCGGTATTAATTAGTTTAGATGTACTTCTTAATAAATTGTAGTATTAAATAATATTTTGCCATGCTAAAGAGTATTTAAAGCTCAAACAATCTTTGGTATTTCGTGGCTTAATCTCGCATGCTTCGGCTGAAGATTATGGGTTAAAACTTAAGCTCTATACACACGAAGTACGGCTTATAACTATCGAATTTATTTCCGTTCGGATCACTCAAATCACTGTCGGGAAGTGAGAAAAATTATTATTAATGTCAAATGTTACTATAAGAATATTTTAATTATATAAAATAGATGCTTTACAGGTTATCGGTACGGCCTGTCTGTCAAATGTATATTAAAAACGTGGAGTGGTCTTTCTTAACCTTCAAAATATTTTTAAATACCGTAAAAATAAATTGAAGACTATGGTCCTACAGATACACTAGTCTATACAAACAGAAACGCATCAATTACCCGTTGTAAACAAAAATACATAATAGGTATTTTATAATAATAGGTTCTTAAAAATGTATCCCTTTATACGCAGCGCACTCGGCATTAATTGAAGTAAAAGTCATTTACATCAACGATAATATAATATAGTATGCGATTTTACGATTTGTTTGTAACCCCTCGCAGTTGATCGCTGCTCGTGTGAGACGCCATTACCGCATTATTAGGGTTGACGAAAATATCTTGTATATATATTATACTTAAATAACTTGGGAATAGCAAATATTTATAAAGTGACTAATTGGTAAAAAACTCTTCGTGAAGGTGAAAGGTTATCGCAGTTATAATTATTAAATACTCTCTTATCTTAAGTGTAAATTCCCAAAAGTCCTAGTTGCAGGAAAAATAATTTTATGTGCCTATTCGATCCGCATAATACGATAAAAAATAAGAGAAATATTGTATTCCAACCAATATTTCGAGGAGTATTTTTAGCATGTAATCCGTATAACACAATATTTTATATGTTATGACGTTTACCCGTGCCCGAACTGTAAACAAGATAGTTTTCAGAATTATTGTATTCAGCTACTTCCAATAGTTAGTTAGATTAGTTTCGAGGATAATATTCTTCTAAATATGTTGACGAATTAAATTCTCACGATTGAATGAATTTTTGCAGAATCAAATCGAATATGAATCGATATCACGCGGAATACAGATTGTTATACGAGTTTGTAGTTACTTATAGTTGAAAGCGCTAATGTGCTCCTTGATATTAAAAATAGGTCGACTACACACCGTAATCAGATGTTATACGACTTGCTGAGTTCACCTTATATTTGGTGATCCTAATAGATGGCCAACTCCAAACTAGAGTCTAGAGAGAGTCCATCTATGTAGTAAAAAAGCGTCATCAGTCCATTTTGCCAATAACCTTTACTTTGTTTTACCGCAATACGTCAGCACAAGCGAAGTTCGGCGATTCGCCCGGTTCGTGTCGGCGAGAAGATAATTATAGGCCCGCTGTTGTTGGCACAATATCGCCATTAATCTCATCTCTTGATACAATACCGTTCGGAAAGCCGGTGAATGCTTTGATGGTTAATTTATGAAGTTAACGTACCTACTTTATTGATTAAAGATGCATTTGGGTTTTGGTATCATTTCGGAACCGCTTATTTTTGTTTACAACTGGTAATCGATGCGTCTGTGGTAGAATAGTGTTTCTGTAGGAGCATAGAATCTTTGAAATCATTTTGCACTTTCAAATATGTCCATAGAAGATAAGAAAGACAAACCCATGATTTAAATATATATTTGACTATATAAATCGATCGATCGATTTTTGATTAAAAACCTTTTAACGACATGGACAGGACTTGAATCGACTTGGTTAGACTCCGGGGTGTCTCCCCGTGATCACAAGTTTAACTAAAATATATCGCATTTTAAACCGTTAGTGTTTTATTTAAAAGTAACCTATACTTTTATCTTTCAATGGTGGCATGTACTGAGATTTTGTAATTGATTTTCAGATATCTTAAATGTGTAAGTGAGCACATGCGAGACATACAGCCGTTTGAAGATGTGCCCTCGAAGTTGTCGGTGCAGCTGCGTAGAGCTTTCGTTGCTACGCGCACCTTCCACAAGGCGTTGCGAGCTGGTGCTGATGTCGTCAGAAATATGATACAGGTAATCATTTTATTCGATGAAAATCTAAATGTAATGTCATTCTACACATTAGAGTTGAAAAAAAAAACGTTGAGATATATATAAAAGTTGTTAAATAAATACTTATTTTTTATGTCAAACCACAATTAAAATCCACTCCACATACAATAAGACAAAATAATAATAACCCAAAACTTAACAATAAAGTAGATGTATCGGGAGGAACACCACGCAATTAATTGTACCTGGAAGTAGCAACTGCGCGGATATGCCCCACGCTTTTGAATTAGAACAGTACATACATACACACATTACAAAGATTCGCTATGCCCTATGAAACTAACATATAAAACGGAAAATGTTAAAAAGAAAACCTTAAAAAACATATTATATGTTATAACGTCGAATATTTTTCCTTCAATTTTTTAATTTGCAGCACTCAACGTTTGCTTAGATGGAATAGTCGTTAATCACAGTAGCTATATAATTAAGTCACATTATTTTGGACAGAGCCCTCAAACAATGGTTCCTATCGACATAGCCATATTAAGACGACAATTTGGTTAGACAATATCTTTATTCAAGTGAGCATGTCGCCTTCAGATGTCTTAAACCGTCTGGCGCCTAAGTGGATGACACATTAAGTTCGCAATCAATTTTATTATATTAATGTTACGATGTCTGACATCATTAAAAATAACTTGCGGAGCTGGTGAATATTAATCAAGGCGAAGATGACCTACTTTTTGACCGTAGATTGCAATATCACGATGACCTCTTTTGATTTTAATCCGAGTAATGAGTCCGTTTTATAAAAATCACGATTGATGCAAACTTTTTGGGAGTTTTATTGATCGACTTTTTTTGCTAGATGTTTCACAAAGAGTAATAAAATAGTAAAAAACAGAGCAAAGTCTGAAAGCTGAAGTGATCTTTCCTCGTCTAGTTTTCTTTTATTATATTCTTTAGTAATCACTAGCTACGGCCACGATTTTGTTCGCGTAGGATAGTTATTTTGGTCATCAAAATAGTTTGCAAGCCTCCTTTCTTCCCACCTTTATAAATTTTAGCTGTTGTGTCGTCTGCGTCCTGTCATTCTTGCAAGTCAGATTAAGTTAACTAAAAGATGGACATATAGTGTCGCGGCCTTTTTTTTAGATATTTTTTTATATGATGAAGTATCTTGAACCGTTCTCGTAGCGTAAACAAAGAAAACCCACAAGTATGAATAATTTTTCCCGCTCTTTCTCGCTTCTATTAGCTACAGTCTTTTATAGCCTTTCTCGATAAATGCTCTAACCATCCCAAAAAAGAAAATTTCAATTCGAACTAGTAGTTCCTAAGATTAGCGAGTTCGAACAAACAAACTCTTCAACTTTATATATAGATTAGTAAGTTAACTAAAGCATAATTAATAAGCTTGGATTGTGTGCGTGTGGTCCTAGACATAACACATAATGACGTCACCTCCAAACATCGAATACGAAACAATTAGCAATAAGAACTAAGTCATAATTATTATGGCCTCTGAATCTCTACCGAGAATTGCCAACATGTGTGGCGTAATTTAATTACATGTGACTAATGTAATTTCACAGATACATTATAGCTACCGGTCTGTCTTGATTAAAAGGATGTCGAAGATATAATTATTATTATATATCTGCTAACTACCTAAATTTCAATGAGTGCAAAATAATATTTGTTGTCTATTACTTAGATCTAATATTGTATTGTACGCCACTATAAAACACGTATTTTTGGAGTCAGTATTTTATTAGCAATACTCAACTAACATCAACAATATCATATACGCACAACGATGACCCCGACGACTTGTTAGAAATATATTTGAGTATACATACAGATATATTTGTATATAATAATTTTAGGCAACTTTATTAACCAATTGAACGTCAGGCAATCCTTTATGACGTCACTTAGCACTTCTGGGCGTATGAGTTCCGGTGTTGCCATATAAATACTAGAGAAACATGAACAAGTTCCGTTCCAGCAGGGCACTGTAAATAATCATGATCGTGATTATTCGTATCTTTGCTATAATGATTATCTCTAATTTCAGGTTGGTGTTAGTCAAGAATGCGTAACGTCTTGGGCTAAGTTGCGATTCTGCGGTGGCTGCGCGGGCGACGCGACTCTCGCCTGCAGCAGATATTGTCACAACGTCATCAGAGGCTGTCTCCCAGCTCATGCTGATTTAAGCGAGCAATGGGATGCATATGTTGGTTAGTACTATTATATTAGCGATTGTTGAGTATCTAATTTACGAGCTTTAAGATAGAAAGTGTAATATTTATTTCAAGAAGATCGGTACGCCTTAAGAAAAAACAAAAAATCTTCAGTAACTCTCTATATGATCTTTTCAAATGGTAGAGACATATTAGTTTACTCAATTATTCTATGGTTACAGATGCTGTTGAAAAAGTGGCAGACCGCCTCCTCGGTCCATTCAACATTGCAATGGTAGTAGGTCCAATCGACATTAAAATCTCCGAGGCGATAATGAGTTTCCAAGAGCACAACCAGGAGATATCGCAGAAAATATTCTCCGGTTGCGGTAAACCGGTTCTCGGAGGACCAAGCGGCAGCACCGGACCCTTCTTCGCTCCGGACAGAAACCGGCGTTTCGCTCGCTCCATACCTGACTTCGACTGGAACAAGTCGAACGATGTGGACGATTTCGTTATAGAAACGTCGTTAGAAACATTAGTCAATAACGACCCGTCGCTGATTAGCCTCCGGACACCGGAGGACATACGCAAAGCGACGGAAGAAATGAAGGAACAGGCCAAGTCAAGGTCGCGTTTCCTGCAGTATATGAGGGGAGATATCAATTTGCAACAGTTGGAACAGCACGAGAGGGAGAGAGAAAAGAGAGATGCGGACCCCACTGGAGATATCGATTTCAGAGCGTTTGAATTCGACGGCAAACGGGGTTCCAAGAAGAAGAAGCCCGTCGCCACTAAAGTCGAAGAGAATCATGGTAAGTACTACTTGAAAGGCTGTTTTATATAATGATAATATAGACCGCGCAAAGTTTGACGAAATCGTTGGTCTAATGGTAGCAATGTATGGTATCAACGTGGGTTCGATCCCAACCGGGTCCAACGTGTTTCTATTTTTTTTTATTTATTTTTTTTACTGCGCCTTGAAATATGGCTATTAAATGGGTAGTAGGAATATTGAAATTCCCGGGTGACTAACTACCAACCACAGATGAAAAAAGGTTTCAGTCTATGGATTTCTGAATATCCAAAGCCAATTTTTGTATTTAACTATATTTTTATTAATCATTAGTTTTATTAATTTCACGTTTCAAGAAAAGCTTACTTTCTCTAGGTGCAGAGGGCGGTCCGGCTCTGGAGCGTTTAGTGAGAGAAACACGCGCTCGCGTACGCAGTTCGCGGAGATATTGGGCCCATCTACCCGCCTTGCTTTGCGCGTCCACTAGCATCACGTCCGCGCCCTGCTTCAATGGATCACATGTAGCTACGTAAGTTTGTATATTTATTATAGAGTAATAATATACACGTAACCAGTAAAAGAATAATAAAAGTCACAAAATGTCGTTTAATCGGTTCAAAACAACAAAATATTCGTTAAACTTGTTTACAAATTATTTTTAACTACAAAGATCTAAAACGTCGTATTTAATAATAACACGAAAACAAGTTTAACGAATATATGTTGCGTATTAACTCGTTTAATTGTTTTATTTTAATGCGTACTACTCGCGTAAACTATTACTATTTAACAAAATGATGATTTATAAAACAATTCTAAACGGGTTGAAATGCTTACATACATACTACTACTACTCGTAGAGGTAGAATTGAATTAACGTACAATATTTTTCTCTAACAGATACACAGCAATTGCTGCTGGGGACGGCAGTGCAGCGCTCGCATCGAATCCCGAGGTGCGTGGCGCACCACCCGCGCCGTCTGGCGTCGCACGCGCACAACTCGATTCACTCAAAGCGCTCACTGCTAGACTCAAAGACGCTTACAACGGCGTCGAGGTGCAGTGGAAAGATTCAGGTAAGGTTTCTGTGTTATTGTAGTAACCTAGTGTTCATAGCATCGCAGGCCACATCTAGACAACTTATAAAATACTTGTATATTTATATCGAAACTAGCTGTGTCAGCTACTTCATCCGCGAATTATTATTATTTTGGGCATTCAAATTTGTTTTTGCAAACCTCCTCTTCATAATTATAAACTTAAGCTTGTTGCCCACGACGTCGGTTTCGTCCGAGTCTTTAAAGACAGACATATAGCATCGCGAACTGTTTTTAGATCATTTAAAGAGGAATTATTCTTTCATACGTTTTTGGGTATACCGTTTTTTTGGGCATACCGTTTTGCAGCGTACGTATCGGAAAACCGCAATGATAAATAAATTTCCCTTTTTTCATTTCCCGCTGTCTCTTCGCTTCTATTAGTCACAGCGTAAAAGTTCTTATGCTCTAACCAACACCAAAAGAATTTCAATAATTTTAATTCGAAACTGAATTCCTGAGATTAGCGCTTTCAAATAAACAAACAAACTCTCTAGCTTTATATATAAGTATAGATTAAATTACAGATATTTTTCTATCCATGATCTAATGATTAAATATTATTCCAGCTGAGGACTTGCAAGCAGCGGCTGCGAGCGATGACTTAGTGGAAAGTGCCGGATCGGGTTCTGGCTCCGGAGATCACATAGATGACACGGAAGACTTGCCTGATGATGATGAGGACAGAAATCCGGATAGCGACTATCCAGAAGGTATTATAATTGTTTGTTTAAAACATTTGTTTTTGACAATGGACAATAATCTTCACAGGCTCGTTGGTGTAATGGTAGCAATGTACGGCTAATAATTAACGGGTCGTGGTTTCGATGCCCACCGTGTCCAACATTTTTCTAATCAATTTATAATTTTTCTGAAACACGTTGGGACTTCGTCTGGAAATTTGGATATTAAATAGACGGTAGCAATATCGAAATTCCGTCCACCACGTCCACGAACCACCGTCCAGAGATGAAAAAGCGGTAAAGTTTCATCACGTTTCAGTTTGTGGATTTCCGAATATCCAAAGCGAAAATAGGTTGACAGCGCATCTTGTTTAGATGCCATAGGCTGTGATATTTCACCTACCATCAAGTGAACTTCATACTTGTCTGTCCTCTATCATTAAAAAGAATACATATCAATATAAAGTAAATCTTTGTCTACACATTACGTTAACAAGTTGGTTATAGTTTTAAATACTGATACGAATATTTCCACCACAGGTTCTGGCGACCACAGACCAGACACCGAAACGACGGAACCGGAACCAGAAGAGCCCAATCGTCCTCCCATACCAGAGGTGCCATTTGTGCCAGAGATCGTCGGTAGCCCGGGCACGAACAACGTCCAACCGCGGGTATACACCGACCCCGAAAGCGGCGTAGTGCCCCAAGTGGAAAACGAACCTGTGGACCCCGCAAGAGAAGAGCCAGTCGCGGACTCCGCCGACAGACCGTCACTCCAAAAAGCACTATTCACATACGCTCTACCAGTCGTTTGCGCATGGTTCGGTACCATAGTCACCGATTTGTTTTAAATAACTTTCGGCGACGTCAGCATTTAACGGCGCAAGCGCACGGTTTAAACCATCCATCCATTTACACTAGCACAATCCAAGTATCGGATACGTTGGTTTTTAACTCGGGTGTGTATGGTTGGATCTCATTTTCTATCTGTGTTAACGGGTTAGCATAATAAATTATTGTAACTTGAAGTCTTGTACACGTTCCGTTAAGAATGAGGATGTCGCCACGGAAAGCCTAGTCAGTGCGAGCGAGCGACGGACCCCCAGCGGTCGTGTAACGTCTTGTGATATCATAGTGCACAGATACGAGTGGTTCGCGGTCGGGTCAGTGACAATAAACTTTAACCCAATGAAAATTTAGATCGTTTAGAGAAATATCAGCCAAATTGTGTATTTATTTAATGATATTGTAAATATTAACGTGTAAATTATGATCGAATTAGATAGCGAATGTTTTTATTGCATGTACAGTGCTCTCCAAACTCTTTGGCCGGGCTTAAGATAGCGCGGATGGTTGCGCGAAACGCAAAAAGCAGGGATCCGTTGCGACAAGGGGGGTGTGAGGGGACTCGACTTTTTGCTTATAATTGACAGTACCATGCGCAAGATGGCGGTCGCGCTAACTTCAGCCCGGCCATAAAGTTTGGAGAGGACTGTACTGTATACGTTTATGGCGCAGCGCCGGATTCGTGTGATTAGACCCACGTTTGAAAGTCTCGTTAGTGTAAATATCTCGGACGCGATTCGGTGGAGAAATGTTAAAATTGTAAATAAGTTAGCCGTAAAACGTAAGTATAAGTTGAGACTGATTCGCGTTTTATATTATTTTCGTATATTTTTTTAATGCAATTAGCCATTTTGGTATTTACTCTTCTCTAGGTACTTGTGTTTGGTTATACATGATTTCTACGTCTAAGTTTAACGGACAGACGTTGAGGTAATTGCTTTATTAATTTTATTTTTTACGCAGTCATCGTATTAAGGATTTGCTACACTAAATAATTGTAAATAGGAAATAGTTTTTTTTTTTAAGCGAGCCTTTTTTATTATTCAATCCCGCTAAGTATTGTAGATTACTAGATTATAGTATATTAGCATTGTTTTAATCTTAGTCATTTTAACGCACAACAATGAAATGATACGAATGTAATTCAATATGTCTACTTAATCTTCGTCATCTCACGTCATGGCATTTTCCATCAAACTGTGCAAGTATGGGACCAAAAATTAAATTCTTTATGAATATGTAGCGCCCTCTATCCACGAATTATTTGAGTACAATCTTCGCCTTGGGCTTTAACTTGCACGTTAGCTTCAAAATAATTATACTGACATGGTTCTTGGTCTGGAGTCTCAAAATATAAGCTTTTGCATAAAACTCTATACTTATATACAAGGAATCGAATTCGCCTGTGTCGTAATAGATTAAGTCCGTAAAATGTTATGTCTGTGTCGTAGTGAATAGCTTTTTTACATGTAACAGGGTACTGTATTGAATATTTATCGTACTCATATTGATTAAATGTGTAAATGTCTTCTAAAGCGCGCATGAAATTTAATACTATGTATGCAGCACTTGCACTTTCATGAATTTAAAAGTATACAAGAGTTATATAATGATCAGAATACACTGAGTAAAATACGTAAATCCATATCAATGTGTATCCAAATTTAATTTACAATGTTTCGTAAACTGTTATTCCTTAGCTTGTCTACTTCTGAACAAGTCTAGTACCTTTTACTTATAGTAAATGCGGTGAAACCCTAAAATTCTATAGTTATGATTCCGAAGTGACGAAATGTAATCCATCTTTGTTTTACTATTTTGTTCAAAAAGAGTCTGCAAGTGAATAATATTTTACTAAACTTTTGTACACAACATTCAATATCCTTAATAAATAAATACACACAGAGTATGTACAGAGTTGCTTTTGCTCTCACTAACATTGTTTCGAAATGAAATACCTAACATACGTACGTTTAAGGTATCAGAATCTTTTATAAAAATACATATTATATTATGTAAGTAATGTGTAAATAAAAAGGTAACATGTGTAATAATTTGTTTATTTTCATATCTGTTTACTCATTGGGACAGGGTTACACTAACAAGTCTTGTAACTTCTAATAGGAAAAGAAAAGAAAATTTTGTCGTTATAAGAATTATTTACTTATTTTTAACTACGACTCGCTGTTTCGGATGTAACAATGGTTCTCTAAAATTATCTTATTTAAATATACCCTTGTTACTTAGTTACAAACAATAATTAGTAAATTACAATATGGAAAATAAACACCTATACCAGTGGACTTAAAAGCGAATTCTTATAAATATTACTCAGATATTTAGTCTTCTTCAGAGTCATCACTGTCTGTCTCACTTTCTGATCCTGAATCCTCTTCTGAGTCGGAACCCAGCCAATCTGGTAGCATTGGTTGTTCTATGATTGTCTTCCATTCATTTAATTTGTGAAGATCTGTAAATAACGATGTAAAAAAGTTAAAAAATAATAATATCAATTGGGAACCTTCTTCTTTCAGTTGGTTAAAAAGTTTGAAGGTTTAGTGACCTAACTCAGCATAAGTCTTCCACACACACTTGACCCATGTCGTTTTATAGGAATACTCCCGAAGTCGGACGTTCATACTACTAACGAGGTAAGTATGAATGTAAATAAAATACAAAGATATACCTACCTAAGCTATACATATCTCCGAGATAGAATTGTTTTTCGTCCTTTTCCAAAACACCACCATAGACAAAGAGCACAGACCGTTGAACGGCCATCATAGCAGACATACGAGCCGAGGGTCCTTGCTTGGTCTTCGGTGGAGTAATTGTAACAGTGGTATCCATTGGGGTAACGGTAGAGCCACCAAGTTTCATTGTGAACACTTCGTCTGTCACCACTGTCAATGTAAAAAAAGTAAATTTTAGAGTCTTTCCTATTATGATGTGTGTGAATAATAGTGATTCCAGTCGAACCCAATATATCCTGATAGCTGAGCCAGCGACTTCGTCAGCATAGAAAATTTGTTTTTACCAACCTCCTCATCTTTATAAATTATAGGTGTTACAAACGATGTTGCAAGTTAAAAGATAGACATATACTATCGCGGACATTTTTACATCATTTAATGAGATATCATCCTTTCATACATATTTTTTGGTATCTTGGACTGTTTTCACATAACGCGCATATTTTCCACTGTATCTTCTCTCCTCTTGGTCGCATTGTGATGTTTTATAGCCTAAAGCCGTCCTCAATAGAATTATTCAATTTGAACCAGTAGTTCCTGAGATTAGTGCGTTAAAACAAATAAATTCTACGAGTTTATATATTAGTATAGATATTGGGTAAGACTGTCATTACTATAAACATATACCAATATTTAAAAAGAAAAAACATTTTTTCTTAATAATTATAATGCAAAGATTACGGACACATTTTGATGAAATTTAATTTAATTCGAGCAGCAGTTATCGTACCACAAATAAGAAGCCACTAATATTTCGAATAGAGGTTTAAAAGTATACCTGTAACAGGTGTTTCAAGTATTTCTGCTGAAGAGACACTTTGTACTTGATTAGGCACACTTGGAGGAACATGTTCAGTTTTCAGGGTAACAGGATGCCACCTACAAGTCTCCAAATCCAGTAATTGCAGTTCGTCGCTCATCTCTCCGCGCAATTCTTCTTCTGTTTCTTCTACGTCCTAGTTAGACACATAAATTAATATAAAATATGTTAAAAACTACATAAGATGCAAAATTATTATAAAATAACAATTTTTTTTTAACTACATAATATGACGCTCTTCTTTTGTTAGTAAAAGAATATTAAAGTATGCTATGATTATGATAGTTGCACGGCAATATGGTCAGGGTTAGATATGTTATTGAATGTGGTTAATATATTAGATTAGTCGGTATCGATCTGTGTTTACTGGCGTAATATACAAAAATAGCGCCATCTGAGTTAAAATAGTTTTATATTGCGCAGCATTTAATAAAAGGAGAATAGACATTAGACAAATTACGAACCAAATAAGTATTAACAAATGTCAGACGTATATAAAATCCTGTTACCAACAAAAGAGGCATTAAATTGTGTTTAGCCGTTTTTACGCCACTATAGACGGGAGGGGCGTTTTTAAATTTGTTTAAATTAAATAACTGACTTCTGTGCCCTATCTAACCGAATTAGATTTCCTGGAATTTGAACCTAGGACCTCTCGCGCTTAACACAATGCTAAGCACGTTTAGCAACAGAACAGCTAAAAAAATTTTCCATTAACATAAAATTTATAATATACCAATTTCCATTCATACATACACAGACACCTCCAAAGACATAGCCCCTATTGCTATGTGGATTAACAGTGGCAGCTTGTCCAGCGCGAGCTGTTGTCCCTCCAGATAGAGCTCGCCATGACCAGCTAGATCCCTTGCAGCTTAGCTTGAACATATCTGTATGTGTTTGTGTTCTTTCAGTACGCCCTTCACGTACACGAGAGAAGCCACCATATACTATTAGCTAAAAAAAAAATACTAACTATTATTACTGTAACAATGCTTTGAAAAAAGTGGATTATTTAAAGACAGTAAAACAAAATTATTAATTGGTTGTTACTTTTAGATAGGCCTTTAAAATTGTACCTAAGGTGCAAAATGCATATGTATCATATATTTTGCACCTTCATTGTTATATTTAATGAATACTAATTTTCAGTACTGTGAAATTGCAGTTAGAGATTACGCTATTGCAGAACATACCCCATCATTCCCGACTGGTAACATGACGCAGGCAGATCGTGGACATGGTCCCCGCCCATTTGGGATCAGTTTTGTCCATTGTCGAGTGTCTAAGCAAAATGTATACAGGTCATCAAAATACCGACACTCTCTGCCATCATCAGAATATCCTCCGAAGATAAAGAGCTTTCTGCTGAGAAGAACCATTCTATGACCAGAGCGAGGTGATGGTCCATTTGGAGCAACTACCTAAAATATAAGAATAAGTATGGCATGATTCACTTTCTATAGTGATATTGTGGTGTCATTTTTCTAACTAATAGAAATATATAGTCAAAATATTTTTTTTTTGCACCAAATTACATAATGTAACTAGCTGACCCAGCAAATGTTGTTTTGCCATATAAAAATAAGGATTGATCGTAGAAGGGTGAAAATTGAGGAGGAATTTTGTCTGAAGAATAAAAAATAAAATTTAGTGGTGGACTACCCCTAACATTTGATGAAAGGGAACGAAAAATAGATGTTGGCCGATTCTCATAGATACAGGATAAGCACAAAAAATTATATCAAAATTGGTCAAGCCGTACTTTAACAAGGTCAGCATACCTTTTCCCATTTTTTGTCTGCCAATGAAAAACACCATAAATCTTTGTAGTGATAGAATTGAGTTTCTGTCGGACTTGTAAACTCTCCCCCAAATATCCATAGCTCTCCCCTAGAAAGGAACCCATAACTTTAACATTAGGTATACAATAAACAACCTAAAAAAGTCTTTCAGAGCATTAAAAACTTATAATATATTTATAAACTTTCAAAAAACCTAAACATATACACACTATAAACACAAAAAATATTTTAATTACACACTTATTTGCTGGTGTTGAAACAGCTTGATGTGCACTTCGAGGCGGTGGAGCACCAGGTGCTTTTATTTGTTTCCAGGAATTATTAACAGGGTTGAAGAATAACAGATCATTGTATATTTCTGTCTGAAATTTCAAATGCATTAATAATACAATCTATACATGCAACAAATGATGCAGATAGATATAAAAAAATATTTAACAAGTCAACCTGTTGTCCATTATGATATTCGCCACCAAACATGATAAGCTCATTGTTTAACGGGTGTGGAGTGAGAGAAGCATAGGCCCGGGGAGATGGAGGACACGAAAGATTTTTTTCTGAAGCTGCAGCTCTTTTCGCTTCTTCACGTTCAATCTCTGCTATTACTTTTGTAATATCTTCCTACAAGCAAAAATGGCAATGTAATAAATTTGATACTGATATCTGTCTATAAACAATAAATTCTCACCGTCTAACTTAAACTGGTGGAATTTAGGAATAATGGAATACAAAAATTTGCTGTAATATACATATTGATTCTAACCTCACCCAAATTAGCAAGTTCTTTCTTTAGTTTATTTGCTAATTTTTTCTCTGTCTTGACTGCAGTCTTAACAGCACCGCTGACTTTATTCTTATTCTTCTTTTTACCCATACTTTATTATTGTTATAAAACGTATAAATTTGTGCAAAATTTCTAATACAATTGTTTATTAATAGTAAAACAAAATGTAAACACAAACATGTGTATCTTAACAAATATGTCAAAACCTTTTATGTCAGAATGTTATTATCATGTCTTCAATCAATATACTTTAATATGTTACTATCATGTGAGACGGGTTTTTAATGAATAAATAAATCAAAATCATTGACGATTCTAACACTTTATGCTATTAGATAACAGCTTATATTATAATGATTTAGCTAAACCTTATCTGTATTTGCTTTTGCTCATCTTACATTTGTATATTCTCTGTGGTTTAACAAGATTTTGATGACAATTGACAATGTGCAAACTTGCAAAGTGCAACATACGTCTCTTAAATTTTAATTTATTTTAGTTAATTTTCAATTCTTCATTACTGAATTTAGTAAAAAAATTAACATTAAACTATTCTAAGTTATAAAAGTTACTTTAAATGTTGTTGATTTAGAATGACCTTACTTGACATACTTTACGTGCAATTATAAAATAAACCAAAGTTTTGTTATATTACAGCCATAAATATCAACTGATTGAGCATGAATACCCCAGCTGGGCCATCGGTAAGAATATACTAAGTCATTTCTCTCTGCTGGTCCCAGTCTGGGCTAAAATTATTCGCCACCAACTATGTTTTTCTAAACGATACTGTATACTAATATTGGCTTTCTATTTGCAGCAGCCAGCAGGCCAGCCAGCCTCGGTACAGGAGTTCAAAATTCGTGTGCCAAAGAATGTCAAGAAGAAGTACCATGTAATGCGTTTTAATGCTAATCTTAATGTGGACTTTGCTAAGTGGACACATGTTAAGATGGAGAGAGAAAATAATATCAAAGAATACAAGGGAATTGAGGAAGATATGCCTAAGTATATTTCATATTTGTTATTTTCAAGTAATAAATTAAATGTAAAATAGATATTTTAGTTCATTAGGGCACTTATGTATATTATGACCTGTGTTTGAGGCTTCATAAGTTCAAGTGTTTATTTAAATGTAGCGCAGGTTTTGGGGCATTATAATATAACTTTTGTTTTGGAACTAACAAAAATCTCTAATTAAATACTGTCTATAGTTTATGCAAGTAGTACATATTTAATTAGAACACTTTAACGGTTTAAAAATGTGGTCTCCCTGTGACCACGGCTGCTGCAAAGCATCCGAAACGTTAAAATTATTTTCAAATAAACTAATACATCGCATTAAAACTATTAAAGTGTTTTATTTAAAAATCTCCAATTTTAACTACTGACACTAGAATTAACAACTTAGCTCTATTTACTTTGTATAAAAAATTACTTTTTATATTTTATGAATTCTCTTGGAATACCTATTTATTCTATAAGTATAATACACAGGTCAAGAGATTCTCTAAGTATAATACAGAGAAAGTCTGATGGCATCCTGTATACAACTTTCTCTTTTACAGGTATGGTGCTGGATCTGAGTATGGAAGAGGCTTAAGAGAAGAGGCTAGGAGAAAAAAGTTTGGTATTATCTCCCGCAAGTATAAACCTGAAGATCAACCCTGGATTCTGAAAGTAGGAGGGAAGACTGGAAAAAAGTAAGGCATTTATAATCTGTTACTGCAACCCCGCTCCCTTGATATTTAAAAGCATATATTATGTACTTGGCATCGCTGTCAATATACAGGTACATAACCTTTTTGTTTTCTTGGTATAGCAAGCCATTTGTCCTGTTTTGATGCTGGCCTTCTCACATTATTTAGCGTCTTGAACTAAGCTTTATTTTATGTATTTACTATTTCTCAATTATGTCATATTTGGAATCTCCATTAAATAAACTTCGTTAATAGACATCAACAGAAGTTCCAATTTACTTAACTAGATGGCGCCACATTTACCATAAATACATATATTAAATGGAGAGAAATCTTTGACTATACTGATTGATAGTTATGCTGGCCATATATTATATAGAAACAAGAATGTTAAATACTTTTTTCTTTCAGATTTAAAGGTATTCGTGAAGGTGGTGTATCAGAAAATGCCTCGTATTATGTGTTCACACACGCAGCAGATGGTGCCATCGATGCTTATCCCTTACAGGAATGGTAAATTGAGTCTATTTATGACAAAACAAATAATTTATATTTATCCATGTTAATTCACTAGTATTACATTTTAAGGTACAATTTCCAGCCCATACAGCGTTACAAAGCTTTATCTGCAGAGGAAGCTGAGCAGGAGTTTGGAAGGTAAGTTTTATGAGCTACTCATCTAAGAAGTTTTGTACTATTCTGGAAGTTAGTCACAATGAAATCCTTGAAAAAAGTTACTTAAATGACTCACGTTTACTCGTTAGTCAATAAAATATCGCATCAATTTTCTCTGTTATTCTGGTGTGCTACCTAATCAAGTAAACCACAATATCCTTGTATATAAAAATATACAACATATGCCAACCAAAAAAAGTACCAACGCCTTTGTCTTATACTTTTGAATCCCCCTCGTTAAAACGACTACAAGCTGTTGTTTCCATATTTTCTTATCAAATGTTACTTTTTTAACATGTTTCCAGACGCAACAAGGTGATAAATTACTTTTCTTTGATGTTCCGCAAGCGCATGCGTGGTGACGACGCCGCTGATGAGGAAGATCCGGACGAGAAGAAAACCAAAACCTCGAAGGCGAAAAAAGGTAGACATTTCTTAAAGTCAAAATTCTGCGTTAAAAGTTCACCCGAGATAAATTATTATTCCCTATTATTATTATTTACTTTGTCTAAAAAAATGCTGGAGGGTTCTCAAAGTTCATATTATGACACACTGACAAAACTTCTTTATTTTCTACAAAATTAACAATTAGCATTTTTCAATTACTGTTGTATGCAGAATATTTTAAAACTATTACACAACACGCTCTGGGTTCCGTCCCCGCCGAGTCAAGATATTTGTAATTAATTTATATATTTTTTGAAATATTTTGTACTTTGTCTGGAAATCTGAATATTAAATTGGTAGTAGGAATATCGAAATTCTGTCTAGGTCATAATCCACCTTCCACTCATAAAAATGGCGTGAACTTTAATCGCTTGTGGATTTCCGAATATCCACAACACAAATAAGTTGACAGTTGATCTTGTTGAGATTTTATGGCCATCAAATGATTCCATGCTCGTCTGTCGCCCTCTATGATAAAAAAAGAACGAGAGGATTAAAATTCGGGAAACTGTTGGTAAGCCAAGGACTATAAGGTCAGACCGGACATAAATGTTTGGGGGAAAAAGGATTTAGCTAAAATACTTTTTTTACAGAACTAAAGATATCTGATATGGACGAATTAATGGAATCCGATGACGACTCATCTGACTCTGAAGCAGCTGAAAAGGAGAACGAAGATAGTGATTCAGGTGCTAAGAAAAAGGCGAAAAAGGGTAATTATTGGCAAACAATAATTAAAGTTAATATATATATAGAAGGATAGCCGTTTTGGGTCTGTTGATATGTGTATTTAGCAAAGTTATGAAGTCTTGCTTGCAAGTCTTGCTTTTGTTGACAATATATGGACTGGTGCACAGACCCGCTAACAGCAAAAATAATACTCAAATTAATAAAAATTCTTATTCAATTTTAATACATCAATTATTTTTTCTAAAGTCTTTATTGTTTATGATTTGCCCTAGTGGCCTCTAGCCTTAATATGTCTGTGCATCCCTGATAAAAAAATGAAAGACAAATTCAATTACCAGTGTTACGTATACGCATTTGGCCAGTTCGAGGCCAAACAAAAGGAATTATACCATGATTGTTTACTCTCCTTTACCTTGCAGTAGTCCAAGTTGTGGGAATTTAGGAAGCTCATGAAATCTTTAGTAACATTTGATAATACCAGCATCATATTTTTATGGACACATTGTTTTATTATTTTAAAATAAAAAAATGCTGTTTTTACATGCTTTTCTCTATTGAGATCTTTAACTTTTCTTTGCAATTACATTTTATATTCCTCTTTGAAATAAATTAATGTTATCAAATAAAATATTTGCTAACATTGCATAATTATTATGAAATATATTTCCTATCGCGCTATTTTGAAAAAAGTATTGTTGGCAGATATTCGCCTAAAAAAGATTAGATGTTTCTTTTTTCCATATGACTAACCAATCGATAGCAATATAATACAATCCGAAAGTTTAATTTTACAATGCCGTAACATTGCACAATAATTACACAATGCTCCCAAATATTTAAAAAATCTTTTATTCGCTATTTCTCTTAATGCGTAGTGTAAGCGTGAATATTAAACTACTAAATTTATTGAATACTTTAACATTCATCATGGCATTATATAAGTTAAAAATCTTAATTGATTTTACATTGAAAAAATTCTACCTTAATACGCAAGTGTTATGGTTAAACTTACATTGCACGAGTCTTTAAGAAAATTTACGACCACGTGTAGGACTCGGTAGCTCAATTGGTTATGGCAAAAGTACGGTAACGCTCTAGATATCGGTGCAAATGCCGCCCGTGGCGTAAATTAAAAAAAATCTAAAATCGATTTTTAATTTACTAAATATATTTCTTTATATTAAGTGGCGAACTTGTTATTTCTTATGTTATCTAGGCGCAGTAGCAAAGAAGAAGAAGAAAGTAGAAGACGAGGCTTTTGAAGAGAGTGATGATGGAGATGAGGAAGGACGGGAAAGAGACTACATTTCTGACTCCTCTGAGAGGTATTTACGATACTTATTTTAATATACTAGGTTTTTATTAATCATATACTAAATACTTTTTGTATTTCAGTGAGTCAGACCATGAAGGCAAAGCGAATAAAGAACTGAAAGGTGTGGCTGAAGAAGATGCCCTTAGGTATGCCATAGATATTTTATCTCTTAATAGTTCAAATTACTATTGCTGTTTGTAAATTATTTAATAAGCATTGTACATCCATTTAAGTTGTGACGTTCTCGTTTTCTAGAAAGCTTCTCGGCTCTGATGAAGACAGTGAAGAAGACGAAGAGCAGAAACAGGAATCTGAACAAGAAGACGAACACACGAAAGAGGGAGAAGAGAGAGCCAGTAAGCTCACTAAGAAAAAGAAGAAACCTGATGATAAGAAAGGTACTGCATATAATATATCATTTGTTTTTAGCAGACATAGCCCAATACCACATTCAATTATAATTAATTATTGAATCTTACTCACTGAGAAGTGGCCTGTAGCACTAAATTCGATATAATAAATAAAATTCATACATATGCTTGTACAATAAATTTATTCATTTGGAAATTGCCGAAATTACGTAGTCTGAAATATTTATTATATTTAAATAGAACCTGTGAAACGCGATATATCTATATGGACGTTTCGAATGGCCAACGGCCGTGGTCACTGAGAGACAAAACGCCGGGCTGTAGTTAAATAATTTTCAAATAAGTTTAACTAGTATATATCGCGTTTTAAACTGTTACAGTGTTTTATTTCGATATGTACTACTCGCTGTAAACTATAGATAGTATGTTTATTCTAGTTGTATTCGCATGTGAAAATAGCACAGTTAAAAAGTGCAAAATATTCGCGCTTGTGTATTGTTGAAAATTGCTAAAATGTAAAAAAAAAATTGTTTCTATATAATTTACCTTTTTTCAGAATCTGAAACAGAATTCAGCTCGGATTCCGACACTGATCCTGAAAGTAGCAACAAGAAACCTAAAAAGAACAAAAGCAGTTCTGATAAAGCACTTAATAATGGTATGTCGTTATCTCTTTAGGGAAATTCTAAATGTATTTTTGTGCTTATATATGACACAATTGTTTAATTATTGTGTACACTAGAATATATTGATAATGCGGCTTAGATTAATATGTATTTTGATAAAGTTACAGCGCGGAACGTATGGTCGTGGGTTCGAGTCGGCCCCCACATTATATCAATAAAAAAAATGTGAATAAATCGTAGCAGTATTATAAAAAAAAAACTTTTTTCCTTCAGTCAGCGCCTCGGGCAGTGCGAACACGTCTCGAGCTGGTACTCCGACTCCTACAGCAGCTCAAGCAGCTGTTGCCGCTGCTAACGCGAATACTAGCAATCAGCCGGCAGCCAAGCGCGCTAAACTTGACCCAGCCTATACGTAAGTATACATAGTATTCTGGCTATCGTTCACAAGGTAACTCAATTGCTTAAAGCAACATTACGGAACATTGTGATTGCCGGAACAAGTCCTGCCGGTGTCGTTAACTTTTTTCAAACTAAAATCGATTTTTATCCTTTTATGGATGAATGGTATATAGACCAGTCAATGTAATACATTTTGTTTGCAGTGAATGCGGTGTCACAGAAGAAGCGGTGAGGCGTTATCTTGCGCGTAAGCCGATGACTACAACCGAACTTCTAACAAAGTTTAAGTCAAAGCGCACTGGCGTCAGTAGCGAACGCCTAGTGGAAACGATGACCCAGATCCTCAAGCGAATCAATCCAGTCAAGCAGAATATTAACGGCAAAATGTATCTTAGTATTAAGCCTACCTGATACGATACAATAAAAAATTATGTGATATTTTAAAATGTTTATTATTTATAAACTATATTGGAACGGGTTCCTCTTTCGGTAAATCCTCGTCTAAACTAGTTCTGTTGCTGTAAAAATGTTTTAGCTTTAGAATAAAAGGAAAAAATGTTAGCATATAAAAAAAACTACCTATTTATCGTCAATTCATTTAGAAACACATTTAGCTTATCAATTTTGGTCGTGTCACAAAAAACTTCACGTGCTTTGATAAACGTGCTGTCGTTTAATTAAATAGGTGTTACAAAATGACTCACGTGCAATGGCTTCTAACATGTCTACAATTGTGTTCTTTGGGGACGTCACAAACAACGAAAAGTAATCAAAAGTTTAGAAGAATTTAAAAGAAAAATCCCTTTTCTGTCTGTAGAGCACAGTGAGAACCCATTGATATTTTTTTATTTAAAACAAATAATTGTGAAATCTATTACCTGCGCGACCGAAACAATTCCTTATTGATCCCGGACCTAAAGCTTAATGGTATTCTAAAACACATGGTTTTAAGAACTCTTTAGTTACGAGATGGCTCTCGTAACTAAAGAATTCTAGATGGCTCTAGAGAAGTAAGTAATGTAAGTCGTTTTCAATTACCCGCAAAGCATATTCATCCGTACAATTTTCTCAGCATCCTTGATAGTCTGCGGCATTAGCACTCCCTTGGTCTCGGGTAGTTGTAAACTAAAAACACCCGCAGAAAACGATATCCCCGCCACAATGATGAATGGGAGGGTATGCCATAATTTCCCCTAAAAACATAATAAATCTTATCTGATACGTGCATGTTATCAATTCATAAAAATTTGGTTATCTATTTGGCCTAAAATAAGTTAGATCGTTCCTCTTTACATTATTATCATTTTCTATTGGGAACACCGATAGAAGGCTGGGTGATCAGTCCACATTATCTACTGACAATTTTACAAATTTTCCAATTTCCTACTTTGCTATATATATATCCTATATATATACAGCCTCTTTAGATAGTCAATTCAGTTATTTATCTATCTAATTCTATTTAATTACATCTATTGTTTGGCATGTACAATTTTGCAAATAGGTTTAACTGATATTAATTATTTACAATACAATACAATATAACTTTAGGTACATTTGACACGTGGCGACATCTTAATATGGAAAATAAGTTGTTTTTTAAATTACTTATACTAATTATCTTGTAATAGTAACCTTGGAATTCATGTTTCTTGATGTATAATGATTATATACTACTTACAGAGTAAGCAATGAAAGGAGATGCGATGATGCCAGCAAACGACATCACGTGCATAAGCGAACTGCCTGAAGCTCTAATGGCTGTGGGGAAAATCTCGGCTGCCCACTGCGTAATTGCCGTCAGCATCATATTCATCATGAATCGGGCTAAAACTCCTACTGCGACTCGTGGTGTGCCTAGAAAAATACTATACTATTAAATGCTCAATTAGGAAATATATGTAGACATGTGTCTACATTAATTTATCATGTGATTAATTATTTAATAGTGCCCCTTGAGGCACAAAATGGACGTTAATCTACCGCGTGCTTCAAGCAAAATAGTCTAGTAAAAAAAAGTAAAATTTAACCCTAAGCAAGTTGAACACGAGTAAAGCAATTAGTTAGTACAATTTTGTTCAGTTTTTTATACCTTTGGTGACACGGTCATTTACCTTTTGGAACAAATGCTGCTACTAAGATCAAAATACCAATAGTTGTTACTGGTATAAATGTGAGATTTCTGCGGCCTAATCTGGAAATAAACAAAAATTTTACAACGGTTTAATTAGTAATTTATTAAAATAAAATATGAATTTTACCTATCAAGTGTAAATGCTGCCAAAATAACCGATGGTATCTCAGTTGCAGATACCAACGAGAATGTTATAAAGAAATTATAGCCTAATCCTTCAGTTAATCTAACTAGTGCGTCAAATATAACAGATCCACATGTGCTTGTTAGGGCCATAAAAATTATCATCTTTCGAATGGGCGGGCTTTTAAAAGCGTCCTTCAGCGTTTCGTTTAAATCCTTCTGCATATTTGATGATATCTGTAATCATGATGACAATAGAAATGTCTTAGTTGTGTAGAGACCAAATGCTAAGTACTACAAGAGGCAGATCGTCGAATACTTACTATAAAATCATCTAAAACTTCTTGTGGAATTTTTGTCCCGTTAATTCTTTCGAATCTTTTTAACACTTTAATTGCTCGGTGTGTTTGTCCACGAGAGGATAACCATCTATAAAATTAACATTGATTTAACAGAAGATGGGAATGTTAATTAGTGTCAATACACAATTATTCACAATAATTATTACCTAGCGCTTTCAGGAATTGTGAAAGGCATGAGAAGTATCATTAGTAGTGGAATATTTGTCACCCACACCAGTTTTCTCCAATCACTAAGCCAGAGAGCCAACCAAGGTACGGATATAGCACCGCCTCCATAGAAAACAGCTATCGATATATTGCCAATTATGGAACGATACTTTGGGCCTACATACTCCAGAACTGAAATAGAAATGTATTATGATTTGTTTGAAATTCTTGATGACAAAGTGTTCCTAATATGAACAGTATCTCAAATCAGCTGTCGGTAAATTTTTAAATGTAAAGTAAGTGTTCAGGCATACCTAATATATACATAATTATAAAACAACTGTCGAAAGCGGTGCCGACCAGAAATCGGCAAATAGCAAAATCCCAGAGACCGCGCGTGTAAACACTTCCGACTCCTCCGATTATTGCCATCAGATATATACCTGCGAAATTAGTATACAAATAAAAAGAGTTCCAAAATAGCCCTTAAACTATTTTGATTAAGTTTAAAATTTGCTTGCCCATCATCGTTGGGACTCTTCCGTAGTAGTCAGCCATCCAGCCAAATAAGATGCCTCCGAGGAATGATCCCAAAAAGAAAAAAGATTGAGCAAACGGAATGTTACTAGCATTGTTGCATACCCAGCCACGCTAAAACAAGTTATGAATATAAAATACAGCAAATAAAACCAAAAAAATATTATACAAAGCCAATTTACACCAAATACAAAATTTCCAAGTGCGACACATGATCCGAAACAATAACAATAGCCACAATAGATCGAAAGCACACCTTGTTAGGTGTTATGGCTGGGTATTTCTCCTTCGATCAAGTGCTTGTCTGTCCCCTATCATAAAAAAGCTAGATAAATCTTCGTCCCACTTCTGTTATCACTTAAAAAATAGACGCTACGTTTTGAAAGTACGCGGCATCTCTTCGAATTTTAATCGTCAGAGCAACAGCACGGAACGCTGACGATGCCGGTTCAAGTCCTGCCCGGGTCGAAAATTGTTTTCAATTTATTTTCGATTTTTAAAATTTTATAGTGCCTTCATGTGCACACTAATAAACATGTAAAAACTAATAAAGTTTTCGAACTCTTCAAATACCAGCAAATGTTTAGCTATATAAACCTCTTACCTCACTAGCTACGGTGTGATATGGTACATCAGTCAATTCAAACTCCCAGCCATTTTTGCAAGGAACGAGCTTGGTGAAAGCTGGTACAGCCATATCCTGAAGGACTTGTGTCCAATTGGCGTCGTACATAAAGCATTTCTCCCAACCTTCGTTCGTGGTGACTGTTGTTAGGTTACGTCTAAAGGGCAAGAGTTTCTATGATAAGGTCTTTAAAGTTGACTCGTTAAATAAAAAAAATCAACAGCAAAAAATGCCAAAACAGCAAACAGCATACCGGTTTTATCTGTGGAACTATTTAAGGAAATATCTAATATTCTTTTCTTTTGTTTTCAATTCCTTATAATATGTAACTCTAATATTTCTGTTTGTTTCCTGTTTTCTTAAATATATAGATTATATCTTACCTAATTCCAATATCTAAATGTTCCAATTCTGGCACTCTACACCAATGGTTCTGTGGTGTAGCGGTTATAAATAATTGTACATAATACACGTAGGCAAAGACTAGACCAAACGGAGCCATAGCAAGAAACAACAACTTCTGGTATAGACCAAATTCACCGACATGTTGCAGGACCGCTTCGAACGCATCGCTGTCACTTTTTGACTGCAGTGGCTGTAGCTTTTCTTGAACTTCTTGCTGTTGAAATAAATATTAAAGACGACATTAAGAAGAAATCAGAAATTGTAGTATATAGAATAGTAGTTATAGTTGTAAGTATTTTTCAGTTGAAGGCGACTGGACTTGTAATTGTGATGGTAGCGAGAAAAAACACCGGCTCTTTTTTCACGAGTGAACAATTGTGTAATAAGGAATAAAGTTCAATATATACAATAGACATAAACACAGCCTAACACTGTCTAAACTACAATTAATAAAGGCTTGCCAAATAAAAGCAACGTTCGTCTACTGTAAAATATCTGTAAGTCTTTAAAATTGTCTTTGTTAAGAATAGTTAGTAATATAGCAATTTAATAGAAATTTCGGGGATTAGCGTAAGCATACAGACATCCAAACATTAAAATATATATCAACACTGTTAAGTGTTTATTATTGTTTTATATTTCTCACACATAAATAAGCCGTAGCTATCAGTTTTATTTCTTTTGATTTATTAGGTAAATGCTTGTAAAAATTAAACAGCTATTACATTATTGAAGCAAATGTAAGTAAAAATATTTATAATCACCTCAGCGTCCTTTTGGCTATTTGAAGTCATTTTATTTCACAGTAAAAACATTCACATTGTCTTTCTTTGTCACATATCACACTGCTAGTGATATCTTTACAAGTGATTAAGAATTATCTACAACACAAATAATACGAGTGTTAACCAGCTCGACGCTCCGTGTTTGCTCGCGTTTTATTAGGAACTAATATACGTTTCAGTTCTTCTAATTACTTACGCCATTTTATTGGTTCCTCTCTCCTATTGGCCAAATGGGACCAGCCATTCCTAAGTGCGTTAAACCAAACAAACAATAATCATTAGTAAATATTGTTTATACAGATTTGTCTATCATAAGCGAGTTCAATATTTGTTCTTGAGTAATGTGATAACCACTAATGTCCATCATTTCTCTTAAATCCTATCGTGTATCGGAGCGTATTCGAATTAAAGGATTAAATTCTTACACACATATATTTACAAAGGATTGTTTATAATAATTTTAACACTTCTTAACTTTTAAACTACTAGTTTAAATTTAAACTTGCCTTTATCTATTATATTTATGTATTGTCACAATAAACAGGAATACATAAATATCATACTAGCTGTGCCCGCGACTTTCTCGAAATAGATATTTTGGGCATCAAAATAAAACTTTGCAAACAGCCTCTTTAGCTTTATAAATTACTTACCTATAGATGTTACGGGGGGGTTTTTTCCCCTTTTTTCGGGGGGTTTTTTTAAAAAGGGGGGGTTTAAAAAAAAATTTTTTCAATTTTTTTTACCTTTAATCGCTGTTTCTTCGCAGTCTGATTTATTTTCCGTGTTTCTTCGCCCCTATTTAGTGCAACGTGCTTTTATATAGTCCAAAAGCCTATCTTGATAAATGGTCTAACTAACACAAAAAAATCAATTGGAACCAAGTAATGCCTAAGATAATTGAGTTCAAACAAACAAAGAAACAAACTCTTCAGCCCTATAGTATAGATTTCGCGATGTAATAAAAAGCCACTTTATAAAACACCCAGGTTAAACATTTAATAAACCAAAAATGAGCAACACTTTTTTAATTGACCTTGTTAACGGTTAGTAAAAACTTGTGGCTGTTAAATAATTATCATCGTTTTTGTTGTAAGTACCAACAGGTTTATTTTTTTAATACGACAAAAGGCATACATGGAACCTCTTAACAATTCAAATGTAAATTTTACTTTAAATTCATGACACCTGTCTAAAAGATCTTAGTAGATTTTTAATTTGGATATAACGATGATTATACATAGGCAGGTTTATTTTTTAAATACTGTCTGTTGTCTACGCGACAAGTACACATTTAAATAAAACACTGTAACGGTTTAAAACGCGATATATAATAGTTAAACTTATTTGAAAATTATTTTTTAATTCGGCCCGACATTCGAATGCTTTGCAGCAGCCGTCACGGAAAGACTAAAGATGGAGGATGTCTCTGACGTCAAAATAAAAATTGCATCCCTATTGAAATTTCTGTCGGCCTCAATTTATCAAACACCTGGGATCACATGTTAAAAACTCTGGAACCCAATAAACAGTCTACCGGCAGACGGGAAGACACTGTTAGTCAATTCTGTAAGGTTTATTTTTTTTAATCACTAAATGTTTTAGTCATTTTTAAGTGACTAACACGGGGAGATATTTCGACGTTAAAATCGAATCGTGTGTTTTGATTTGTTGATGTTTTACGAATTTTTTGAATGAAAATGTCTTTTTTAAAAGTATAATTTATTAAATGCTAACAAACATAATTCTTAACCATCTAATTTTAACAATATTTAATTTGGTGAACAAAGGGTGGGTGTATACATACATAGTTAATAATTGTCATTTAAAGGTCAATGGCATCAAGCAATAAAGCAATGCAATAATAATTATCATTATTGTTATTATTAATATTGTATATAGTAAGGCCATTTTACAGATAGAAATGACCAATCTTTGAGTAGAGCATTTTAATCTTACTAAACCTTGATGACACAATAGGTATATTGTTTTGTTAATAAATACTATTAGAGAGTGATACATTATATATAAACAAGTATATCTACTTATATCTAAGGCATTTTTTTCTATAAATACTTGTAGCATAGTATAGAAATGCCTTTTATGGTAAATTGTACTAAATGTGTATCTACCGTCTTACCTTTTTGGTAAGAATGACATAAATTGTTTGATTATATAATCAAGAAGGTTGAGTAGATGGCGCGATGTTTCTGAAACTAGAACGTCTAGCTGGATTGCATAACCGTTTTTAAGTATTCTCTAGCTCTTCTCACTAGGTAAGCCTTCGTCTGATTTCGACCTGTTCCTGTAAATATCATTTTTTTTACAAATACTTTAACAACAGTAACAAAATGTTACGATTATAAATAAAACACATCACTAAGTATTTCTACTCTTACGACAAGTTTAAACACGAATTACAATTTATTTTTAAATCACATAAGGTTTGGGTTGTATTTTAAAAATCGTGGACCCGGGGCAATTTTGGCTAACTTCATTTGCGTAAGGAACTCATTTAAAATTGTTAATTTTTTAACCATGCGAAACTCTAAAAAGTAATAAACACGCTGCTGTCCCTATAAATAATAAACGATTATTTACGACTAAAACTGGCAAACATATAAGGTTATTTTTAAATACATTTACCTGCAAAACATATTCATCTGTATAAGTTTCTCAGCATCTTGGATAGTCTGGGGCATGGGAATGCCTTTAGTCTCGGGTAGTTGCAGTGTAAAAACACCCGCAGAGAACGCTATACCCGCGACAATTATGAAAGGGAGGGTATACCATAATCTCTCCTAGATAAAATAATTGCCATTATTACTCAGCACGTGCATTTTATCAAAATAATGTTATCGTTGTTACAGTTCTTAATCGACTAATTCAATGCTATATTACCCAGCTGACTCAACAAATTGACAAGGATCTTGTTTGAGGAAACAATAACGATAGATTATTTCGATTGGCAAAAATCTGTCTATTGGAAAAATATAAGTTTGAACAGAACCGATTTCATAAAGATAATTAGGCATTTTATATTGAATTAATATTTGAATAATGTTATAACTCATTATGATATATACTATACTTAGAATTCCGAATGGATGTGTGGTTTTAAAAATAAAAATGCAGATGACAAACATGAGCCATCATAACTTATACTGGTTTTCCAAAAAAGAGATACAATTTTTAGATACTCACAGAGAAAGCAATGAATGGAGATGCTATGATGGCTGCAAACGATATGACGTGCATGAGAGAAGTGCCCGAAGCCCTAACGGCTGTTGGGAACATCTCAGTTGCCCACTGTGTGACGGCGGTCATCATCATATTAATCATAAATCTAGCTAGAACTGCCAGAGTCACACGTGCTGTACCTGGAAATAATATGAGGCTAATACTAAACAATTGGATTCACTGATAGCTAGACATGTGATCAGTTGATTATGTGAATAAAATATAAAGTTCTGAAAACAATATTCCAATTAAACCAATAAGTTTTGAACTACATTTTTACTTTCACTAAATTGTATATACATACCTTTAGGGACACTTGCTGCAGCTAAGATTAAAAATCCAGTCGTTATCACAGGTATTAATGTAAGATTTCTGCGGCCCAATCTGAAATGAAACAAATATTGAAATTTAATTGTATTTTTATTAATAGGACTCTTAAATGTTACAAATTTAAATATTTACCTATCTAGAGTAAATGCAACCAAAATAACTGACGGTATTTCAGTCGCAGATACCAATGTAAAGGTTATGAAAAAATTAAAGCCCAGTCCTTCAGTTAATCTTACGAGTGTGTCAAAAATAACAGCACCACCCATGCTGGTGAGAGCCATATAAATTATCATTTTACGAATGGGTGGACTTTTAAAACCGTCTTTTAGAGATTCATTAGAATCTTTCTGTTTATTTGATGATACCTGTAAATAAAGGAAAATGAGACCCAACCATCTTTCGGATTCCAGAACGAAAATCTGAAGAAAGAATGTAAAGCACTTACTATAAAATCGTCTAATACATCTTGGGGAATTTTAGTACCATTTATCCTTTCAAATCGTTTTAAAACCTTGATTGCTTCTCGTGTACGACCGCGAGAGGATAACCATCTGCGAATGGAGACCATAAGATTTTATAGTGAAAAATTCAATGGACGAGGAATAAAAAGAGATTTCTTATTTTCTTGATTTGTTTTAAGCTTTAGATAAAAATGATGATTATAATAAACATTAACAAAAATGCGATTTTACTATCAAGTATTCTCTTTACCTTGCGCTCTCTGGAATGGTAAAAGGTATGAATATTATCATCAAGAGTGGTATACATGTCACCCACAACAATCTTCTCCAATCACCGAGCCAGATGGCAAGCCATGGTAAGGATATAGCACCTCCTCCATAGAATAGCGCTATTGATATATTGCCAATTAAAGAACGATATTTAGGACCCACATACTCTAGAACTGAAAACAGAACCATTAGTGACAAATATAAAAACGGCATGTTCGATTGTTTGAAAAAAATTGGAAAGCATGGGATCGATCGCGATGGCGGAAGCGACTAGAGGAGGCTAGGACCCACAAAGAGCTGTATAGCCATTGATGATGATGATGATGGATTGTTAAAAAAACCTAGTGATAAGAATCAAGTATATACCTAATATAAACATTATCATAAAACAGTTGTCGAAGGAAGTGCCAACGAGAAATCTACAAAAAGCGAAGTCCCAAAGACCGCGCGTGTAAATACTTCCAACTCCTCCGATGATAGCCATGAGATATGTTCCTAAAAAAGATAATTCAAATCAGAACCAAATAATGTAAACCAACATAAATCTATTTAAGTTGAAAAAACTTGTCGTATTTTTAAAAATTTCAATAGTTTTTGAATTAAATAAAACAAAAAATATATGTATATATTATTGGGTTAACTTATTTGGAAATTATTATAACTACGGCCCGATGTTTTGGTCGACCCTAATTCTGTCCGTGACCATAGCTGCTGCAAAGCATCAGAAACGTCCAGTCGTAAGTAAAAAAATCCTAGCTATCTAGCATCCTAATAAGTTTAACTAATATACATCGCATTTTAAACCGTTTAAAGTGACTACAGACTACAGGTGGAAGATTTTTAATGTCTCTTCAAGTGTAATAATACGTATAAAATTTTAAAGTTGTCATGTGTCTTCAAACATGTTTATAATATTGTCTTTATAAGCCTTGCCTATTAACGTTGGGACTCTTCCATAGAAGTCAGCTACCCAGCCAAAGAAGATACCACCCAGGAAGGACCCCAGAAAGAACATAGATTGAGTAAACGGAACGTTACTCGCATCATTGCATACCCATCCACGCTAAAATGATTGCACAAGAAATACGGTTTTCATTACATTTTTATTGTTTTTTTTTTCTATCGAATCCAAAAAGGATTCTATATTTGAATATAAATTTAAAAATTAATAAATTTACCTCACTAGCCACGGTGTGATATGGTACATCAGTCAATTCAAACTCCCAGCCATTTTTGCAAGGAACGAGTTTGGTGAAAGCTGGTACAGTCAAATCCTGAAGGACTTGTGTCCAATTGGCGTCGTACATAAAGCATTTCTCCCAACCATCACTCGTGGTCATTGTGGTTAGATTGCGTCTGAATGGCAAGTTTCTTTGATAAAGGTTTTTTTAAAGAAAGGAGGTGTTCTTAAAATCAATTTGAAAGTTTAACAATTATTCCCATTAGTTTCTTTACGGTTACTTCTTTTTGACGTAGCCTATGTCCGCGTCACCATCGGCGGTTTAGTTTGTATATGTGTATTATATTATTCGTATATATGTTCTAGACGTTCTATAATCTTTAAACAATTTTAAAATTACTTACTGTCTTCCAATTATAATGAAACAAGTCTTTAAACTGAATTAAATGTATTAGCGAAAACAATAGTACAATGTGCGAATAGATCACGTATCTACTAAATCAACGTCTTCAACACAACTTTAAATTATAACTATCATTAATCGTAAATGATCTTACCTAATTCCAACATCTAAATGCTCCAATTCTGGCACTCTACACCAATGGTTCTGTGGTGTAGCGGTTATAAATAATTGTACATAATACACGTAAGCAAAGACTAGACCGAATGGACCCATAGCGAGAAACAACAATTTCTGGTATAGACCAAGTTCTCCGACATGCTGCAGGACCGCTTCGAACGCGTCGCTGTCTGCTCGTTGGGGTTGCAATTTTTCTTCAACATCCTGCTATTATGAAAGAAATTGTAAAGATACTTCAAGCAAATAACGTCCAATGATTTAACAAACGAAATTATAGAGGTAGGTATTATTATGTAAATTAGAATACCCTTTCATAATACGTACTTATATACTAATATAATGAATAAAAATATTATTATATTCTAGCTATATAATTTTCCAAAAGAGCTGAAGATAATAAAATTAATTTGTATGTTAAAGCTGAGTACATAATAAATTTAATGTATGTCCCTAACTCCGGGCGATGTCAAGATCGAATTTTGTTTCCAAATTAAAAAAAATATTCTATCACGATATATTTTTTAATATGTTTAATACGCGCAAGGATAGCAACTTATTTGATACTTATCCGGGAATCGAATCCTGATTGAAGATGAATCACTAGACGGTAACCGCCTACTGAATGCTTTTTGTTATTAAAAAACTTCTATTGATTACCTCAGGATCCTCTTTATTTAGGTTATTTAAGTTCATTTTATTTCACAATTTTAATCAATTTCGGTCTTTACAAAAGCACACACTTCACATATCGAACTACTTATTATATCATTACATTTGATTATTAGGTTAGGCGCCTTTTTAATGTTACTATCGTAATAATCGTAAAAGTGACATCGCAACGTTTGAGATAACGACTACTATAAGAAGTAGTGCTCCTTTTTATGTGTCCACTTTTCCTCAAATCTTTAAGACCAATGAAAGAAATATTTTTTTTGTGAACAAAAATTTTGTGTACAAAAATGATTAGATCAATATCGATCGATACGTTATGTAATAATCATTATAATTTATCAAAAGTCTAAGATATTCAGATATGATTTTCCTTGTGTTAAATACTGTCTGTAATTTACGCGAGTAGTACACATTTAAATAAAACGCGATATATATTAGTTAAACTCGGTCACGGCTGTTGCAAAGCATCCAAAACGTCGGGCCGTAGTTAAAATAATTTTATGCGAGTTTAACTAATAAATATCGCGTTTTAAACCGTTAAAGTGTTTTAATTATATTTTCTTGTCTTTCTAGATCAACGTTTTTTATTATAAATACAGAAATAAACACACAAATCAACGAACAGTTGCTTTATTGACGTTATATTTGGAAAATAATTGATATCGTTTACCTATATTATACGTTTACACAACTACTTATCACAGTTCAATAAATAGTTCTAGATTACATTTGTGCTGTGGGAACTTACTGATAACATACAGATTGGAACAGAGCCAGCAATCTTTTCGTAAGCAAATTACTTAGCTTACGCGTGCTAGTTAAGAAGCATTTAATTATTTAACTTGAAAAGTATTAAATCATTCCAATACAACAAATATAACACAAAATAAATAAGAATTAAATTATCATTAATATATCTACTTCGACTGATATAGTATAAGTTACAACCATTATATGTGCATTTGTTTGTCCATAGCATCTGTAGAGTTTTTCAAGAAAGACTTGAAACATCACACTAGTACTTACTAGATGTATAAAATATTATTGCTTATCTATAAGGCCATGTGATAGAAATATCGTATCTTATATGGCATTTTAATCTCACGAAGCATTTATACACAATGTTTTTGCTTATCTACTATACAAATACTATTAGGGAGTGTTTTATGCGAAAGTCTAGTTTATATCCTTCTATACATAGACTCTTAAACGAATCGTTAAAAAAATAAGACGGTTTAGAACGCGAAATATATTAGGTAGCTTATTTTTTACTTGGCCCGACGTATATGCGCTTTGCTATTTTTTAAATAACCTAACGAGGCGCTCATTAAGCTTTCGCGTTGTAAACCGTCTAAAGTTTTATATCAACATTTCTATGTGCACTCGTGTATAAAAATAAGTTCTAAATTTTTTTCTGATGTCTAGATCCACTACATTTTTTATATAATATTACATATAATGGTAGAAATATACATCTTAAATACGGCAGCATTTTTAGGCTTACGCGAGTGTCTACGCGATTACAAATAAATATTTAGAGAAGATTCTTTTTTATGCCCTGTAATGTCCAGTATTCTGAACCACACAGCCGACAGAACTCTACGGCAGTATCGAATTAATTTTCTAAGGTTAAGTAGTGTACTAGGAATCAAGTGCTTTTTCTCTTTCGCCTTCATCGGCCTTTTCTTCATCTGGAACGCTTCTGTAAATAAATAATAACAAATTTAACACTTATTATCGTAATTAAATTAAACAATATTAACAAAATAATATAAGGCTTGACTACGTAGTGATTAAATGCTTTTTGTTGCGAACTTTTATGCTTTTAATGTGTTAGTAAACTTTAGTTTTTTGTCTGCATGGTTTTGGTCACCAGGTACGATTTATAAACAAAATATTTTTTGAATAAAATCAATTTTTAAACTGAAAAAAATCTCCGACACGGGCGGATTTGAATCGGCATTCACAACGTTTCGTACTGCTCTAACCAATTGAACTACCGCCTCGTCGTAGTTTTTTTAAGCAATTGAGACATGCACATCTCTTGCAATATAACTATTTTCATGTCTCCCCGTGACCACGGCTGCTGCAAAGCATCCGAAACGTCGGGCTGAAGTTAAAAATCATTTTCAAATAAGTTTAACTAATATATCGCGTTTTAAACCGTTAAAGTGTTTTATTTAAACTATTTTCATTTTCAATGATTTTACTAACAGTACTACTACAGACTAATAGTACGGAACGCTGTGGATGCTGGTTCAGGTTCTCGTCTGTGTCGTAAAATTTTCTCATTCAAGAATTGATTTATAATTTTATTAATACCATCATGTGCAATAATAGGTGAAAAATATAAAAAAAAATTGATTCATTTTTAAATAGATATTGGTAAAATACCCGCATAGAGTGTAGCTTCGAACAATTTTTTCTCCATCCTGTATAGTCTGTGGCATGGGCCTTCCTTTAGTTTCAGGTAACATGAGACCAAATCCAGCGGCTGTTATAGCTACCGCACTCAAGATAAGCAGAGGTAGGGAACGCCAAACTCTTTCCTAAAAAAAAATGTTTTTTCTTTACATAGTCTATTCGTAAAGTTTTGTTTCCATTTTCAAATTCCATTTTTTCTATAATATTTTTTATCCTAGTATTGTATGAGGTTTTTTTCAGTATTGTATGTGGCATGACTTACATGAGGTCGGGTGTTCGATCTTAGGTCTTAAAAGAATATTTATTTGCGTTTCGTGAAAACACCTGAATGTCTTATTATAGTAATTATATAAGAAATTTCTTAGTCTAGGATGGCGATGAGGACAATAAAACTACCACGAGGTTCCGTGGTAGTCTATTGACGTCTATGTCATACTAGGTAATAATGGTAGCAATGTATGGCTTATAACCAACGGGTCGTGGGTTTGATCTCCACCGAGTCAAAAATCTTTCAAATCAATTTTTATTTTTTTTAAAGCATGTTCGTTTGGAAATGTAGATATAAAATGTCCGGTAGGAATATAGAAATTCCGTTCGAGTTACGCGTTTGCGTTTCCGTTTCAAGCCAAAGCCAAAATAGGTCTAGAGCTTCTTGTTGAGATGGTATACGGCTGTGGTATTTCACCTACAACGAAGTAAATATGTCTGTCCCATCATAAAAAAAGTCAAAACTAACCGAAAACACTATAAAAGGAGAAACCACTGTGGCAATATACCCAGTGACGTGTATGAGAGACGATCCAGATGCGCGAACTGCTGTCGGCAGCAATTCAGTACACCACTGCATTGCCGCATTGTATGCCATATTGATCAGAAAACGCGCCATTATTGCGAGTGACACTTGAGGTATACCTGAAAGGAAGAGAAATGAAGTGAATATTACCAGTGTTGTGTAACAGTCTCAACAAAGTCAAAGTCATTTATTCATATAGATAGTACTACACTACTATGTACACTTATGAACGTTACAAAATTAAAGAGTCTAACTTTACATTTACTACCCGTTCTCAACTCAAGGAGATAAAAATAACGAGAATAACTGGAGAAACTCGCCGCCGCCGATAGAGAGCGCCAAGTTTAATTATACAGTCAACGGTTTACATTTAAAAAATATTTAAAATACTTCGATACACTAAAACAGATGACACAAGTTAGACTATATTTGTCTTACAATTTTAATTTAATAAATTAAGTTTATTATTAATAAGTACAAACACAATGCGAATATTTAATATTATGTATCAGTCCCGTTCCTCCTGCGAAAGCATGCGGACATATTTTAATGTCTGTTTTAAAAATTTTAGCGTTTAACAGTAACACATTTTTGTATGATAGAGGGAGAGACATGGGGTAGACTTGATGTTAGGTAATATACCGCAGTTCTAAAACATTTAAACTAGATGCGATATCGACCTATTTTGACTGAATCCACAGGCTGAAATGGTGTTTCAGCGATTTAACTTCACGATGTTTTCCTCTGTGGGCGCTGGTTTGTGACCCGGACGGAATTCCGATATGCTACCCATTTAATGTCCAGAATTACAGATGAAGACCAGCATGTTTCAGAAGAATTATAAATTGATTAGAAAAATGGACCATGTAGGATCGAAGCCAGGACCCCTTGGTTATTAGCTATAATTCTCCCAGGGGGTGGTTTCCTTGTAATGGCAATCTGTCAAATCTCACCTTTAGGTACAAACGCTGCGATAAGGCACAAAGTTCCAGCAGTAACGAGAGGTCCACATACGAGGTTTCTTCGACCCCATCTGTGATGCATTAATTTTTTAATAATTAATTTAGTGCACTAGCATAGCATCATAAGCTAGTAGAATAGCAACTCACCTGTCAAGTACTAGAGCCAGTAACGTAACGGATGGTATCTCCGTGGCTGACGTCAGCGTAAACGTGATAAAGAAATCTAGACCTAGACCCTCCGACATCCGCACCAGGCCATCGAAAAGCATAGCACAAGCCATATACGCTATTATCATGAAGAACATCATCTTACGAAGTGGACCGCTTTTGAAAACACTCTTGATTGATTCGTCGCTTTGCCGGGTTTGACTTGCAGATACCTAAAAGATAATCAAACACCTTTAATTTAGACTATATTAGTATATTACAATAGTAATCCTATTTGGACAATAAATCTACACAAGTATGGTAAATAATAAAAAAAACTTTATTTGTTAAAAAATATCAAATTAAATTAATGAATAACTAATTTGGCTGGTGTTGGAGGTATGTCGTCGTGCTTAGTTACAAGGAGAATTCATATAATAAGAAGAAACACTATGTTTAAATACTGTCTATAGTTTATGCGAGTAGTACACATTTAAATAAAATACTTTAACGGTTTAAAACACGATACAAAGTGTTTTATTTAAACACTATGTTTAATACTCCAATTAAACTAGCAAATTATACAGAAATTTTATCTGTACGGGTTAGTGCCGCTTAGTATCACGAGTTTATTTGGCCCGAACATCATTTAGTCTTTCGAGCCTGATAGAAGTAAATGAATTGAAAATGAAATGAAAAAAAAAAACAAGCTCTTATTATTCTAACCTACTGCGCAAGCCGTATTTTTGACAGATGCTTTGTTTAACTGCTGTGTTCATAAGTCTATCGGCTAAACTTACAATAAATTCATCCAAGACATCCTGAGGAATCTTTGTTCCGTTTACTTTTTCAAAACGCTTCAGAACTTTCACAGCCTGATTAACACGACCACGCGAGGCGAGCCATCTGAAAATTAGTTTAGAACGATATATTTTTTTGCACCGTAATTTAAGCAAGGGTAATTTTTTAATAAGCTTTGTAACGGATTAAAACTCCACTAATTAAACTTTTTGATTGTTAGCTACAAACCAAAAAATCTATTAAAAATAATACAAGGTCTAGTTTTAATTTGAAAACTTTTTGAACATTTTTCACATGTTGCACATAGAATGGTTTTAGATTTTGAAAAAATCTGCTTGTTTGTAGTTTGAACTTTATGCGCAACTATTAAGGTTTCCATTACCAATATGTTGAAAAATTCGGCGATGACGTGAAGGACATGGTAGCAACAACACGAAAAGCTGTGGACGATTTTGAATTTATGTTTTAAATAAAAACGCTAATAACGTGCGTCTCTTCCGAGTAACGCGTTACCGAGTTCGATAAAACACGAGTAATTCTACAGCAAAGACAAAAATTTACCTAGCGCTCTCGGGTACTACAAAAGGCACAACAACCACTATGAGGTATGGCAAACTTGTGTACCAGAGCAGTTTCTTCCAGTCCCCTATAGCGAGAGCTATCCAGGGCAGCGCCAGGCAACCACCTCCGAAGAACAGGGCGATGGATATGTTAGCAACCCAAGTACGGTGTTTAGGTCCAACATATTCTAGGGCTGAAAATTTAGAATCACTAAGTTAATAAAAGATATTTTAGATTGAAAACGTAAAATACGACCCGAGCGAGACTAGAACCGGCTTCCGTGCCGCTTCGTGTTGCTCTAACCCATCTATTCTATTTTTAATTTATAAATAATGTGCGATAACATGTGCAAAATATTAAATATTAATATATTAACTATAGTTAATAATACGATTTAATTTTAATTATATTAAAAGTTATAAAAACCGTTGCTTAAAATACGAAATATATTATTTTTCTTACTTTTAATTTAGTTTAACTACGGCCTGTCGTTTCGAATACTACCCAGCAGCCGATATCAGAATAATGTAACTAATATAATTCGCATTTTAAACCGTTAAATTTATTTTCCCTTATCCATGCTACTCATGTTTGAGCCTTCAAGTTAGGCATCATTAAAGCTCCCAAATGATAATTTTTTTAAATATTATTTCTATCACAAGCTAGGGAGTAGCCTAAATAAATATGCTTATATAAGACGCTTACCTAAAATATATATAGCCATGAAAATAGTATCATAAGACATTCCAACGACGAATCGAGCCAGTGCAAAGTCCCATACACCCTTTGTGTAGATGGTGGCAACACTGCCGCCGAATGCAATCAAGTTTGTCCCTAGAAATAATTTTGCATAGTGATAAATCTTCAACTACTTACGACTTTTATTTAAAATTCCTGTTTAAAAGTCTTACCAACCAACGCGGGCACTCTGCCATAGAAGTCCGCTACCCATCCAAACACAATTCCACCGATTGTGGATCCGGCGAAGAAAGCTGCCTGGGCGAAAGGAACGAAGCCAGCATTCTCGCAGACCCAACCGCGCTACAATAAAAAGACAAAAATGTCGAATTTACAACTATTTATTCATTTGGGTTACTAGGTACACTTATTGACGTCAATGCAGTTAATAAAAAAATAAAAGAAAACCCAAAATTAACACGCACTACCCGTTCTCAAATCAATAATAGCCATGTGGAATTAAGGGGATCGACTTCTTCTTTTTGGGTTAAAGAACACAGTAAATAACGTTCTTTTCTTATTTTAATGATAGAGAGGTAGACAGACTAGCATTGGGGTTCGCTTGATGAAAAGTGAAATACTGCTCTAAAGAATTAATCAAATCTAATATTTTGGCTTTGGTTATTCGGATTTTCAGGACTTTTTCATGTATGAAAGGTGGTTCATGATCTAGCCGGAATTCGATATGCCTGCAACCCTTTTAGTATCCACATTTTTAGACAAAATACAGCATCTAAATTGATGTGCACTTTTTTACTATTAATACGTTGCTCCCATTACCTCAACGAGTTCCTCAAAAATTATGAACATGAATTAGTAAATTTTAGAATAACATTTTAATTTCAAGAAACGATTACACACCTCACTTATAACGGTGTGGTAAGGGATATCGCCAAGTTCAAATTCCCAGCCGTTCTGACATGCCACCAGGCTGGCATTAGCTGGTACCACCATGTCTATAAGCACCTGGGTCCAGTTCGCATTGTACATCAGGCACTTCTCCCATTCGTCACCATTGCGAGGCGCTGTCAGGTTTCGCCTAGAACCATAAATGGTTAGCAATTAACGAAGAGGTGTCAGAAAAAAACCATAAACATACACGAGGGAATACTAAACACATGCCAAATACATCAGTAGTTAGTTCTATATGAAACAACCCATTGTTTGTTTTGTTTCCACAATTCTTAAATAGTTAATTTGATTTAAAATGTATGCATAATTCAGAACAATATTGACTAAGCAGCTCTGATACTGTCACCTTGTCAACTTACATAACATCGTTGACATTATTTATTGCTGTTGTTAATTTCACCTTGTTACTTGATAGATAATAAACTTTTTATCTACGTGTTTTTTTTATTGATACTTTATTTATAACATCACATCGTTTTTGAACCCGAAACTTACTCAGTAAATGACATCTGCGTGAAGTTAAAAGGTTCTAAGATTCACTTTTTTCTCCAAATCGAAAAACGTATCGTATGTTATAAGATTAATCAATTTAGATTTCTATTGCCATCTTCAATCGTATTAGTTAATTAATCGATAATTTTATTACTCAATCCGATTCAGAATCAGAGAATTCAGTTATCAGGAATAAAAAAAAATATTGTATCACTTTTTTTTTTATCAAACTTTCCTCTACATTATCACTTTTACAAGATCCGTGGTATAAATTATCGTTATCATTTTTAACATCATAGATCATCAACTATTATATAGTACAGTTTCTTTTCTATGTCTGTTGAAGCTCGTGGTCTCATAAATTAGAATATCAGAAGTGTTGGTACTAATATTAGATTTCTTTACAAATCATTATCAAATAAACGTTTCTTAGATGTGTTCAGCCTTATCTCTGAATGTCAGTAATAACAATCTATCACTTATAAATAGCTTTGAAAACCTCAACAGTGTATCGATGGATCGTATAGAGAAGAAGGAATTATAAAAAGTACATCAAAAGAATCCGACAGGAAAAACCAACTCACGCTTAACTTATCTTGCTAATTAATCTATTTTTACAACAATCAAGTTGTAATTAAATAACTCTGTAACTTAGAAGGATAGCAACGATAATATTGTGTGAAGCGTGTTTGCTGTAAACATATTGTGTATTAAATTATTGTTATTTAGACTAGTAGAATGTAAACAATATTAATTGTTATGGCTGTGGTCACTATATTTCTTTTAAACCATATTTTATGCTATTTACAGTTATGTTTAAATTCGTCATAAGACTCTTATGTCAATTTTGTGGTTAATTTTATTTTAAGTGCCTAATAAAATATAACTTATGTTATTAGTTTTTGCAAATATTGTTGCCGATCGTTATTCATATTGTTCAAGCTAGCTTTTTCTATAGTATAGGTCATCATGGGTGTGAAAAAAATGCTATTATGGACTTCGGAATATTATTCTATAATTATAGACTGAGCAATTAAGGTTAAGTCCAGTAAAGGAATATCATTGCCATTGGAAGGTGTCCTAACCTCACTAATCTTACTGCTAGAGGTATAGGTATTGAAGATGCAAAAGACATCTTAAATAGTGTCTAATCACATCGTAATATTAGAGTAAAATCTAACTATTAACAACTAAATACAAGGTCAGCAACAAGCGACTCCCAGTTTATTTGTACAGGTGTTACTGGTGCAGTATTCATCACAATTGTTTATACAAAAGCTGCCTACTAGACCGGAAAAATGTAAGATATAACTTTTTTATGCGACAACCTAGGGGGGCGTGTAGGGGGGGGTTTTAAAAAAAATATATATATATATATATATATATATATATATATATATATATATATATATATACAACACAACAACAACACAACGACAACCTAGTGGACGTCTAGATGCGAGTTTTACAATACATATATATATATATATTACAAGTTTTAATTCAAAACATTGTTAATCGATGTATACAATTTAACTTATAACCTCTATGGTTGAATTTTAATAATTAATTATTCGTGATAGATTTGATATCCGTTACAACCACGTATGTTTATAAATTTAATTCATTTTTCACACAACTCTTTGAAGTAAGTATGTGCTTAATTAAAAAAATATGTTTTATTAACGCCTAGTTTTTGATAAACTTCTTGTAGAACACATTCAGAAGCAAGTTGATTTTGTAGGATTAATATTTTTAAAACACTTGTGATAAGTGTATAACAACAAACCCTGGCCATGCGTGAGTCTTATGGTTAACAACGCTTTGTCTGTTTTATTGATCGATTTATTTTTATTTAGATAAGAACCTAGGACCTCCCACACACGATGTATTGCTTTATAATAATTTTGATACATGGATTAGCTTCGGCACAGGGTCGCTAACCGTTCATTTCTTTATACTGATCAACAGTTGCTAATTTGTATTGCTAATGAAGTGGGAAAATGTTTAAAATCTAAACGTAGAGAACTCTTCAAACGAGTTTCCAGCTTGTGGTAAGTCCATGATGATGACGCAATGGAGCCCCGAGTTACGTACTTCGTATCGATCCAGCACAGTATTATAATCCTCGCTGCTTACTTTTAGCTTACAGTAGCTTTTGGCAACAACTTTATTTTTAATTGTGAATACATCAATTGATAAAAACGTGAGAAAATAATGCAGTTTTGTAGTTTTTAACATGAACATAATACAAAGTGCTGAAATATTGATTAATTTTCTTGATGAAATTTGGGAAATTAATGATTTTTCTTTACAAAATCATTGTTATTCAAGATACTTATATTATTTACTTAATTTAACACTTAATTTAAATAACACAAATTAGAGTTCCATTGCTTTACAACTATTACATTCAAGTTCCTTAATTCAATTGGTCTGAAATGGAATTGGTGCTGGGAGCTTTGGAGTCGTTCAAATGTATTTCCATCGCTCGATAAAAAGCATCGTAGCGGTCTGGTGTTTTTAGTGGTTCCGGTCCACTATTGTCTCCGAGAAGTGTGTAGTAGGTTGTGACGATTTACCACACTCTCCATGTCACTATTGCCTGACGTGAGCGTGAATTATACATTCGCATTGAGAAAATAAAGGTACCTTAATTCCATATCCAGGTGTTCCAATTCAGGTACTCTGCACCAATGACTCTGCGGTGTTGCGGCAATGAACATTTGTATGAAGTACACAAACGCAAAGAACACTCCGAACGGCGCCATCATCGCGAATAAGAGCTTCTGGTACAGACCCATCTGACCCACGTGCATAATGACAGACTCCAGTGCATCGCTTTCGTCATTTTTCGGCTTCTTGTTGAGCTCTTCACTCGCCTCCTGTTAAATTTTTATTAAATACTCTCTGTAGATTACGCAAGTTGTACGCATTTAAATAAATTCGCTTCCTGTGCGTGGGGCGTAGACACATTTATGTGTCTGTCTTACTGATTGATTTATTTATAGTTTAACTTTTGTATTTTCTGGGATTTAACTACTGAGAAAAACTTCGCAATATATCGAAAGAATAGAACCCATAAATAAGATTTTGAAACAAATACAACATTCGAGACGTTGTTAAAATAAACAAATATATTACACGTTTTAAACCATTAAAAGTTTATTTTTGACAATGCGTAACACTTGCGTAAACCACAGACAATGCCCAAGCAAGGATTTTAGCCTGCCTTTATATTAAATTATTAATATATGTTTAACTTTGTAGACGTTAATATATGCTATACCTTAGAGAGCCGAGTTAAATTTACGTTAATAATATACAATAAATGCTAGTATTTAGTGAAATTAAAATTTGTCCATTAAGAATTCATTTCCACTACCAATAAATGAATATTTAGTATATAACCGGTTTTTTTTAATGATAAAGGAGGATGGATGAATGGGATTCACTTGATGGTAGGTGATATAGGCCTATAGCATTTAAACAAGATGCGCTATCGACCTATTTCGGCTTTGGATATTAGGAAATCCACAGACTGAGACCGAAACGCGTTTAAGCTTCACGATTGTTTCGTCTGTGGACGTTGGTTCGTGACCCGGATGGAATTTCTATATTTCTATATTTCATCCATTTCTAGATTCCCAGACGAAGTCCAACAGTTTCAGAAAAATTATAAATTAAGATGGCACCCACGACCCGTTGGTTATTAGCCATACATTGCTACCATGACGGAGCCCTAAATAAAGAAGAGAAGACGTAAAAATCCCAACCTCTAATCCTTTAATTTCAGTGAGAAACATCTTCACAGTTCACATAAGTTAATTACTACAACCAACTCGTTCGCGCGTGAATTCCGTACTGGCGACTGCCTACTAAAGTACACGGCCCTCACTGTACCGTTATAACCGCTGATAAAACTTTTATCATTGTGACGGCGCGGCAAAATTAAATGTCCATATCGATAATTTCTAACGCATAGTAATGCTATCTGTCTTAGCGTTACGTAAAAGTCAAACTTCAAGTTCACACAATTATTTAGGAACGTTTTTAGTAGCGACACTCAATCTATCCTAATATATAAAGCTGAAGAGTTTGTTTGTTTGAATGCGATAATCTCAGGAACAACTGGTTCGTATTAAAAAAATCTTTTTGTGTTAGATTCATCGAGGAAGGCTATAGGCAGATATAACACATCGCGATGTGACTAATAGGATCGAAGAAACAGCGGGGAATGTGGAAAAGCAGGGAAATTATGCATCGTAGGGGGTTTCCAATACGTACGCTGAGAAAACGGTTCAAGATATCTAAAAAATAAATGAAAGAATTATTCCTCCTTAAAGAATCTAAAAAAATGTGTGCGACACTATATGTCTATCTTTTAAGATTAACGCGCAAGAACGACGAAAAGAGACGCGACAGACGTCGTCGACAGCTTAAATGTATAAAGAAGGGGTTTGCAAAAACGAATTTGGATGCCCAAAATGACAATTCTCGCGGACCAAGTCGCTAAAACAGCCAGTGGTTACTAAAGTTATATCTTACTTTTTTATTGTATTACCCATGTCCTCTTATAATAATATTTTGCCTTATATTATAGACAAAGTTAGAAATCAACAAGGTGTACATTCAAAAGACACCGTGTAAGGACTTGTAATAAGTTAACATGAATTTCGATATTTAAACAGTTAAAATTGTTTTATTTAAATTTTTACTAGTCGCGTAAACCATAAACAATACTTAAAATATATAATGCCATAGAATAAAAAAGGAGTTAATAATACATTTTATGTTGCAATCAATAGATATTTATTATCGCTAGATAATTTAGCGTGCAAACCCAAATTAATTAAAATTTTAATAAGGTTTAATACAAATGTTCCAATTTATTGTGATAAGAGTCAAAAAAACACAAAGCACGTTCAAAAGTGAATATAACTACCATGAAAAAACCACCAATTAAACAAATGTAGGTTGATAAATTGTGTAAGGCTTTCACGGCCATCGTTCAGCATATTATTGTCTTTCGGGCTGTTCGGCCGATGTGAGCGAAAAGAGGTTCTCGACGTTTCGCCATCACGTGTGGACGGCATTATCAAGAGATGTTAACCCCTCGATTGCTCGAAGAATTATGATTTGTCCGCCGCGGTCTCTTAATGTTAAATGTAGGTTAACTACTAACTAATATATAAAATACTTCTTTCAATTAGTTTCTCTGTCAAAGAAGAGGAATACCTATGTATAATTATAAAATAAATATATGATACTCCAAATACCAACTACGACGAAACAGATGGCGTTAGCGTAACAGTTTGACTTTGACATTAGGGACACCGTTTCAGTTCCCCCCCGCGACTACGGCTCCTGCAAAGCATCTACGTCGGGCCGAATAATTTGACTAATATTCTACTGCACTCTACACTAATATTTCGCGTTTTAAACTGTTAAAAGTGTTATACTCGCATAAACTACAGAAAATTCATGTTCAGTATTATTTTGAATAGAGACGCTTTTTACCCTTGTAAAGTATATTGTTGTAGATGCGATTACATGACGCCATACTAGTTAGGTACCAATTATGTCACACGCGATCAGCTGCGCTATGTTTCAAAGAACACTAGATGCCTCTATACATGTTCAAACTTCTGGAGCTTGGTTCTCCTCGGCGCGTAAAGGCTAAAATACCCCACGCTATTTCAAGAATACTAGTTGATTCGGCAAACGTGGTTTTGTTGTTTGCAAGATTAATATTATTACGGTAAGATACGGTAGTCTTACTCCAATAAATAATTCGTAATATAGTATTAATTTCGAATAAATTTGATTATCATGAGTATGGTTCATGCGACAGGAAATATGGATCATAGAAAAAACGTAAAAATGACATCGTTGCGGATTGTTTTTAAAACATTTATAGGGAAATAATTGTTTTATACATAATTAGTATTTATTTCTTGGTCCCTTTTTGCGGCGCACCCAACGGAAGCCCTCAAGGATGTATAATTTTCCCCGTTTCTTCCCTCCTAATGGTCGTAGCGTGATGTTATAGAGCCTTTAACCTTCCTCGCTATTCATCACCAAAATAATTTTTCAATTCGAACCACTAGTACCGAGATTAGCGCGGTTAAACTAATTTTCTTTAATAATGGAATAGGTTATATATTTTTTTTAATATTAATCAACCTTTACGTTTAATAAAGTACTTCGAATCTAAAAATACTGATTAAGATACGGGGAGTGAGTAGTATATTTATAAAATCACCCTTAATTAAGGGTAAAAGTTAATATGTTTATTTATATACATTAATCATTACATTGTTGGTTTTATTTCAACTTATTTCCATCACCATGTCCAAAATTCGCGACGGTTAACATTATGCCAACATGACGTTTTCTGTTTTGACAACCTTGGCTCAATATATTAGTATTGTTCGTATGTGATATGGTTCGATTTAAAGCAAATAAGCAATACTGACAGGGCAATAAAACACGTAGAAAATGCGGTATATGTATGTCCAGATGTCATTTCCGCTTCCGTATCTTAAGGGACAAATAGCATTAACGATTTTTTTTTAATTTTGAAAAAAAAAAAAGTTTCAAAGATTTGAATTTCGAAGACTGCAAGCTCGAAACTATCCACGACGCGGAAAAAGAAAACTGTGAAGCGGCATATAACACATACCGCAAAAAATGTTGTAATAATCGTTTTAATTAAGTGTTAAAAAATAATATTTTTTATCATTATAATAAAACTGAACGATATCACCTTATCTTAAAAATTGATATTAAATATTCCTGGATGTTATGTTTAATACTATTCACGCGTTGCTACTACTTAAATGTTAAACATATAATAAAAATACAGTTGGTGTTAAAATTTACTTTATTATTATTACCTACAATTATCGCTATTGTTTCAACCCTGGTTAACCTATAAATCACCACTCGAATTACCTGAGTAAGTACATAGGCTAACATCAGCAATATATTTGTCATATTATGTACACATGTCTGTAGTTAACGCGAGTAGAACACATTTAAATAAAACACTTAACTGTTACAACGTTAAATGTATTACTTAAACTTATTTACAATTCATTTTAACTAGGACTGACGTTATGGGTGCTCAGCCTAAAGTTAAAATTCTAAATAAGTTGAATACCTGTATCATTTAAACCCGTTAAACGTGTTTTATTTAAATAGGAATACTGTATGCTCGAGACTGCTAGAGTTTTATCCATGCAAAATTGCTCAAAATTTCCTTGAAAGCCAAATAAATAAATTAAAAAAAAATTACGACACAAGCACAACTTAAACCGACATCCACTGAGTTCCGTGCTGTTGCTCTAACCAATTGAGCTACCATGTTCTACACGTCGTCGAATTTTTACAAGCTATTGATACATGCATTTATCGCGCTATTTGGAATCGATTTTTAATTTATATTGTGCCATCATATGCATCATATACATTTAAAATACGAACTAATATTTAATGGTACTTATTTACAAAAATGTAATAAAAGGCCGACGATGTGAATAATTTAAAAAAATACTTTTAAACGTTCCACTCGGTTCCGGGTAATACGACCGATTACCTAAAAAATTTGTAGAGGAAATTAGCAGCCTCGTCATGTTCAATTTGTGCGAGATTGTTAATCTACCTATTATTCAATAAAAATTTTTGGCTCTCTAATCGCTTCTTCCGATTTGCTTCAATTATTTTTAGATTTTTAGGGGTCTATTATTAAAATAAGACAGGAAGGAAAAACATAAATTTATTAAGTTACCGAGGACAAATATCTGAAACGTGTTGTCGTTTTTTCGTTGACTAATACATTTCGAGTTTCAAACCGTTAGAAGTATTTTTCCCGCGTTAAACAATAGAGAATACATTAATTATTATTCATGTATATCCAAAACACACTGTGTTCATTTGCATACGAGAAATCAATGTATTGTGTCAGTTTAAGAAATGTTACTAGTGATAGATTTTTATTTATTTTATTTAACTTTTTTTACATTATCATTTTATTTCACATTATTAAACCGGTAAAGAAACCGTCTATCGGTTTATAAAGATAAAAGGTAGTTTATTATGACCAGACTTTGTTTTTAATAAGTTTAACTAATATATCGCGTTTTAAACGTTTAAGGGGTTTTATTTAAATGTGTGCGACTCGCGTAAACTATAGACAGTATTTACTTTTATTGTTTTTGTAATGGGTAAAAAATGTTTAACTCGGTAATAATACCTGATTAAAAATTCGTAAGACGAACGTAGAGAAGACAATGTACATAGTCATGTTTATGTACGATAGCACAATAATTTAATATTGTATTTTACCATATAAATAATAGTACTACTAATAATTACATTAATTCGTGCAAAATAATTCCCTAACCATTCTAAAATATAACAAATGTGTACAACTCTAAGTTTTTAGTTTTGCTAGTTTTTTTAACATAGAGGATAAGAGACAAGCAATCTGTTGGGGGAAAGTGGAATAACCCAGCCATACAACAGCTCAACAAGAAGCTCTGTCAATCTATTTTGGCTTTGGATATTCAGAAATCACACAACGGGATTAAACTTCACGACTGTTTTATCTGTGGATGGTAGTTCGTGACTCTGATGGAATTTCTATATTCCTCCCACCCTTTTAATATCCAGATTTTCAGAGGTAATATAACAAGTTTCAGAAAAATTATAAATTGATAAGGCATAATTATGTTAAACCCGGTGGGGATGAAACTACCATTACACCAAAGAACTAGTCTAAATATTACATTAAAACTGTTACGTGCTAATTTGTATAGACATAGCAACAGTTGCGTTGTTTATGTTTGACAGATTCTAGGGTTATCACATTACGAAAGTTGAAACTAGTAATAAATAGAGTTTATAAAATACTAGCTGACCCGGAAAATCTTCTTTTTCCATATTAAGTATTTCGACCAAATTTGATTACAACAAAAACGGTTCTCGCGAGTTTAAGGATAGATATATACTGCCATGGACATATTTTTTAATAACTAAAAAAAAAATTATCGTGTCGTACATATTTTTTGGTAATCTTGAAGCGTTAAAGCTGCGCATGCAACAAAAACGCTCAAAAATTAATAAATTGTATTAGTTTTTCATTATTCCTACAGTTTCTTCGCTCCAAAGCCTAATGTTGTATAGCTTAAAGACTATCTCTATAAATGGTTCACTCAACACATTTAAACCTGTAAGTAGTCCTAGAGGTTGTATTTAAAACAAACAATACAATGTCTTAAGCTTTCTATTGTTAAATGAACATTAAATTTTAAAGAACGAATCAGGTTTAAAATATTGAATTTTAGCATACCTACATATTGTTGAATTTATAAAACACTTTTGAGTTTTACAAAAATAGCTACATTTCAATTTCATTAATGTTATTAATAAGTAAGTTTCCTTATTGGATCTAGGTTATCAGCAGTACCTTAAACTTTTAGCACAAAATGTATGCAAAAATATTTTCCACTGATCATCATATATTGTAGTGATTATCTTCGCAACTTGGCAATCTTTTGTAACACATATTAAACATTCTGTGATAAAATTTATCTTAACGTCCTAATACGCACGATATAAGTAAACACGTCGACGAATAATAACCGAATGATCTGACCGATACTATTTTTACGTGTAAACTGGACTCTTGCCAACTCACCATTGCTTATATTTGTGTTGTCAAGCACGTGGTTCTTTATCTGTAAGCTCTTAACTTTCACAAAATCTCGCTAAACTTGTAACAGGATAACTAAAGCCGTACGTCAAATCCAAGACTTCGATCACACGTCCGTCCAGCGACCCGGCTTAGGTGGACTGGCGCTACACGCTGTCAGTCGGCAGTTTTTCTTTTGATTCACTGTAGTTTACATTCATTGAATAACAAGCGAACGCATACAATTTAAACCATATCCACTTACTATATATTCATAAACGTTGATGGACTGTGTAATTAATTCAAGAACAACCAAATATTTATTTTTGTCACTTAAATATTGATATTCATAATAAACAACTTTTTTACTTATTGATTTATTTAAACATACCTTAACTGTCTATAAATATCACAATTACACTGTTATCAGTCATAGTTTTTAAATAAAACCCTTTTTTACGGTTTTAAAGCGAAATGTTTTAGTTAACTTATTTACAATTTATTTTTAATACAACCGGACGTTTCGGCAACTTCTAAGCTTGTATATAAATTAACTAATACATTTCGCATTTTGAACCGTAAAAAGGGTTTTATTTAAATGTATACTACTCGCTTAAACTACAGACTGCGTATACTTAATCATTATTACTTTAAAAATGCTGCGCACAGCATGGCGACAAGCAGTAACGGTTAAACGGATCGATAGCGTTTCGAAGGTTAATCTAACCCACATAAAAGTTAATTCCTGACCTCGCACTAGTGTGTTGTTCTTGCCAAGACCCGTGATACGTCACGTCCATATGGTTTGCAGACGCCGTTTATTGTTATTAGAATTGCACTGACTACTAAACCGCCTAATCTCCGACTACCCACTGACTCGACGGCGGCAGCACTTCAAACTAGTCGATAGATATTATTGTCAGTACCATTTAATCACATAAATGTGTATGATTAAATCTATACTAATATTATAAACCTGAGAGTTTGTTTAAAAGCGCTCTCAGGAACTAGTTCGGATTGAAAAATTCTTTTGGAATGGCTAGAACATTTATCGAGGGAGGCATATATAAAACATTACAGAGGGAAATGTGAAAAAATGGGCAAAATTCATCTATATGGGGCTCCAGTCGTGCGCTGGGAAAATGGTTCATGATACCCAAAACATATCATGTATACAAATATGATTCCTCTTTCAATCATCTAAAAATATTATGTCCGCGACACTGTATGTCTGAATTTTAAGATTAACTTGTAAGAGCGATGGGACGCGACCACCGACGCGGAGCAGCAAAAATTTATTATATAAATAAGAGAAGGTAGATTAGTTATTTTGGGCATAAAAATTGTTTTTTATGCCCAAATAATAACTAATCTATATGCGGATGAAGTCGCAGGCATATTTTGTTTAACAAACAAGCATAGAAGTCATTAAAGGATCATTTAGTTTGAAATCTGTATTTACACATTGCAACATTGTATAATATTTTTATAGGGATTTGAGACTCGGTAGCTTAAATAGTTAGAGCAGCAAATTTTTTCGATCCGTGTTATTTTTCAATTTAAAACATAATTTTAGATTATTTGCTATGAAGTACTCCTGTGGAATTAATAAAGATAATATCTAAGAAGTGACCTAAATAATTAATGTCGCAGGAAGTGAGACAGATGGACAATTAGTAGATGCCGCTGTGTCATAACGAACAGCGTAATCCTATAATATAAACAGAACGCGTTATCTGTATCTATAGTTAAACTGCTCTTTAAACGTCGTACTCTTTCTAATCCTTGTAAACAGACAAGGATAGATGAGAGGTAAATACATGTTACGCAAAGTAACCGCAGAATGTCTATATTTTTAAATACATATTTTATTACATTAATATATAAAGCTGAAGAGTTTGTTTATTTGAACGCGCTAATCCCAGGAACTACTGGATCGAAATGAAAAAAATCTTTTTGTGTTGGTTAGAACATTTATCGAGAAAGGCTTTGGGTTTCCGATGCGGACGCTGCGAAAACGGTTAAAATACCCAAAAACCACGTGCAAAGGATAATTCCTCTACGTCTATCTTTTAAGATTGACTTGCAAGAACCACGGGACGTGACCGATGTTGGGTAACATCTTAAATTTATAAAGATGAAGTCGCTGTAACAGCTAGTCTTTTTCTTAACCGTATATAAGAAAGAAATCTCTCATATTTTCCATACTTCATGATGTAATTGGAAATCAAAGCCATGTCTTATTGTCGTTTTTAATTAATTAACTAAAACAAACGATTCTGAAGTAATACTAAGCTTATCTCATTTCTAAGTTGCGACACGTCCTTGACCTGATAACCGGGACATGGATAATATCTACCATACTAGGTGGCCTAGTATACACACTACGACACGTATCTCTTGCATTTGTAGACAAATTGTTGCCTCTTTTAAACCGTTGGGATAAATAGTTAAGATATATAAAATTTATAATTCGACAATCAATAATGTGTAAATATGGAGTTGGTCCAAAAGATTTCTCCTATCTTTAGTTTTGTTGACATAACGCGTGATAAAAAAACTATAGGTATTCTTCTCAAGTGGCGCTAGCTAGGCTACCTGACAACCAGTTGTTGAGGAAAGTCTAAAGGAAAACTTGCAAACTGGAAATAAATTATTCTTCTCGATGTTAGATATGGGTTCATAAATTCAATCAATGATTAGTTCTAGATAAGAATTGTTACCTGTCTTGAATAATATGTGTCAATTGGCTAATATTCATTTGTGTAATCTGACAATGTATAAATTCATTAAACTATTTAGAAGCTTTGTTTATTTAAGGAAAAAAAAAGTAGCTTTTTTGGACTATTCTTAACTTTGCAGTCATGCAACACTAAAACACCATTATCATTATAATTGTTTATTAAAAAGCACTCCTTATATCAGCTAGTGTCGATGTACTCCACCGAAGCCAAATTCTTTCTGTAACGAAAAGATGCACATATGTAAAAAATTTGTTCAGGTAGCATTAAAAATTTGAATTTTTAAACTTTAACGACGCTTACTTGGCTTGCGGCTTGGACAAAGTTTCCCACTCTTCCAAAGTCTGCGGCATTCGCCTACCTTTTGTTTCTGGTAATAGTAAAGCGAGGGTTGCACCGCTAAGGCCGACAACAGCTACAATAATCAGCGATAAGCCTTCCCAAACTCGATCCTGGAATAATAAATGAAAGAAAATGTTCTTATCAAGCTTCTGACGGGCAGAACTTAAACCGGCATCTACAGCGTTCCGTGCTGTTACTCTAACTGCTAACAACTTGAACTACCGTGTCCTACACGTCATCGTCAATTTTTTTCAACCTATTAATACATGCACCTCTTGCGCAATGCAGCTGTTGATACCGGTTTAAGTCCTGCCCGGGTCGACGTCTTCGAGTATTATTTTACCATAAATAAACTGCTGCACGGTTTTTAAGCCCGACAACTTAAAATAAATAAATCAAAAAATCAAAAGTCATTTATTCTTGTAGGTAGCTTAGTACACTTATGAACGTCAAAACAGATAAAAATTTAAGACTTTAAATTTACAGCTACTACATACTAATAAACAATAGAAAAATAATAAAAACGTAACTGTACTTACAGAGTAAACAATAAATGGCGTTACTAATACAGCAGCGAAAGCGCTTATGTGTACAAAGGAGGCTCCAGAAGCCCGCACCACAGTCGGCAACAATTCTGGAGTCCATTGGATTACACTCACGTATGACATGTTGTTGAAGAACCTGGCTGCTACGGCCAACGCTACAGATATTATTCCTGAAACATTCATGTAAATTGGTTGACTTATACGAGTTATAAATAGTGTAACTAACACGCCTTCCTTCTATATACTCCAGCCAGACCATGCCAGCGACTTCGACCGGGTAGAATTATTTTGGGCATCAAAATTTGTTTTTGCAAACCTCCTGCTCATCTTTATAAATTTTAGCTGTCTACCTACGACGTCGTCCGCGTCCCGTCGTTCTTACAAGTTAATCTTAAAAGATTTACATAGGCGGTCACAGCCATCTTTTTAGACCTTTAAAAGAGGAATTATTCTTTCATACATATTTTTTTGGTATTTTGAACCGTTTTAACAGCGCAGGCAATGGTAAACTCGCAAAGACAAACTGTGTCTTGCCCCCTCCCCCCCTTTTCTCCGCCCCCTTTGGTCGTAATGTTTTACAGCCTTAAGCCTTATTTCATTAATGTTCTAATCAACACATAATATCGTTAAATACCGTCTATAGTTTACGCGATTAGTACATATTTAAATAAAACACTTTAACGGTTTAAAACGCGATATATTAGTTAAACTTTTATATCGCGTCCAACTAATATATCGCGTTTTAAACCGTTAAAATGTTTTATTTAAACAAAATATTGTTTTCAATTCGAACCAGTCGTTCCTGAGATCAGCAGCGTTAACACAACAAACCAACTCTAGCTTTGTAATATAAGTATAGGTATATTAAGATAGCGATAGAATATATAAAACTGTCATAGAAAGAATATAAGAGATAATGTAAATGAATAGAATTATACAGTTATTTACCTCTTGGTACAAAAGCAGTTACAAAGCACAGTATTCCAGCAGCCATCATTGGTAAAAAGACTAACCATCTACGACCTAACCTGAAAACAATAGTTAGATATAAACAATACGATACGAGACTAGGTTTAGTTTTTTTTTGCACTTGAAAAAAACTGTTTCCGTAACGTATCATTAAATTATTTATAAAATTGGCTTTAATTAAATGCAACAATGGCTTTAGAAAAAAACGTGACAAGTAAATGTTGACTTAAACACAATATAAGTGATAAAGAATCCCTTTAGGGATAGAACTTAAAATATGTAATAGAGACTGGTAAAAAGTGTAAGTAGTGAAGTATACGTATGTTAACAACAATGAATAATGTTTTGGATGATTTATAAAAAAATATTTAGCTTTAAAGCTTTGAATTACAGTAATAAATTTTTTGATCAATGTTCTGTATAACTGTGTGTGTGTGTTTCTAAGCATAGTCTATAGTATGTACCCAATGATAACAAAATTAAAAAGAAAAATAAGATTTGCGTCGATGTAAATAAATCCGATTGAATGAAATATGGAAGTGCCATTAAAATGCATTTACCTGTCTAACAGCAGAAGCAAGACAAATATAGATGGTATTTCAGTGGCTGATGCTACTGTGAAAGTTAGGAAGAAGTCAAGTCCCAAATTTTCAGAAAGTCTAATAATGCAGTCAAACATCACAGCAACTGCTACAAAAGTTATAATGAGGAAGATCACCATTTTACGAAGCGGAGGCGTCTGGAATATCAAGCCTAAACCCTTTTCTTCTTCTTGCTTAGTACGAGCTGCATTCTGAAAGAGTCATTTTACTTAATATCATCGCTTCTAGATCTACACTGTTTTTAAACTTAAATCTAAATTTATAGAATAAGAAAATCATAAGACTTATCTAATTGATATGAAAAGTGTCGAACTAAGGTCAACAACATAAATGGTAATTCTTAAAACGGAGACCGAAAAATGTGTTTACATTTCTTTTCTTAAAGCAAAAGAGTCTAGTCAAAATGTTTCTAACATAATCTCTCATGTAAGTATAATAATTTTACTCACAATAAACTGGTCCATGACATTCTGTGGTATTTGGTTTCCATTAATTTTCTCAAATCTGTTCAGGACTTTAATCGCCTTATCTATCCGGCCCTTGGAGACTAACCATCTGAAAAGTAAAATACTTATTAAGAGATATAACCTATGGTATAGTACAATAGTAAACGCATTTAAAGCGATAGGTCTCTAGTTTGTATCCCCTAAGAAATATTAAATCAATCGGTGATACATATGCAAAAATGATATTTCGGAATATAGGATCAAACACACCTTTATGAAAATAAATACGGGTGAAACATTTTATTAAATACCTCGCACTCTCTGGAACAACAAAAGGAGCGAAAAAGGCGAAAACCATAGGTATCGACGTTGCCACGATGAAAATCTTCCAGTCGGAGATCCACATGGCTATCCAAGGTAAAATAATGCAGCCTCCGCCGAAAAAAAATGCAATGGAAAGGTTTGCCACACGCGTTCGGTATTTTGTGCCAACATATTCTAACACTAAATATGTAATTATAAAAAATATAGTAATCACTTAGCTAGCATTGACTTTGTAAAAAAAGCGAATAAAATGAACTTTAAAGGTAAGTAAATAGTAAAGTAAGTAAAGTATAAATTAATAATTTTGTAAGAAAATATATTACCTAATATGAACATAAGGATAAAACAACTGTCCCAGCCCAGCCCAACACACAGCCCAGAAATAAAACGGCAAATTGCGAAATCCCAAAAGTAATTTGTGAACATCGTGGCGATGTTGCCAATGATACCAAAAGTGTTGGATACTGTAAAGTGAAAATCATGTATATTACGTAAGTACAATGTAGTTAAAAATTCACATACAACCATTTTAGACATGGTATGAACGAGTAGCTGTGGACTTTTTACCGAAGAACTATTCATGGTCCTTAAATATACTTTTTTATCAGATCTTAATAGATCAGAGTAATGACTCAAGAATTGTCCAGGAGATACTCACAAACTAAAACTGGCACACGACCATATCTGTCGCCCAGAATCCCACACAGGATTCCTCCGATTATGGAACCTAGGAAACTTATGGATTGTGCCCAAGGCACATAACTCGCTTTATCGCAGACCCATTCGCGCTAAAGGAAACAATAAGTTATTTTTAAACTTAAAAGATATTATAACTCTTCGACCAAATCTAACGACGACGGAGAGACAAAATTAGGCAAAATTACATCAAAAAAATCACCACACCTTTGACACTAATATTTTTTAGGAAAGGTCTTTCTTTAATATAAAAAAAAATAATTCTAGTTTTATAATTTTACTTGAAAACTATAATTATCAACTAAAACATCTTAATCATCTTACATTACTGTTAAAAAAGTAAATAAAAATTGTCAAGATCTTTTCATCGGGCACTAAACTTGCAAATTTTTACAGTTAATATTAGATATATTACACTTTTTGTATACCTCGCTAACAATAGTAGAATAAGGAATGTCATTATACAAAAATTCCCATCCTTGTCTACACGCAACCAGCGGCGTTTCAGGGTCGGGTGGAAGAAGCGTCTCCAAAATTTCTGTCCAGTTCGCATCGAACATCATGCAGTTATCTACGTTGTAGTCACCCGTTTTGGGTGTCGAGAGCGCTCTCCTACGATAATATAAGAGGCGTCATATGAACATTTTTAATATCTAATTTGTAATTATTATATATTTACGCGTTCATAATGTAAGGTAACAAATAACTAATAAAAAAGGTTTGACATGATCGCTGATTAAGTAGGAATGTATGATATTGAGTAAATAATATTATTGAAACGATATCAGAGAAAGATCTTTAATCGATTGTTGATAAGCTCCACACTACATTTGGATACTACAAATTTATGACGAGTTCAGTGATCATTACTCATTTAATCTTATTGATTAAAATGAAGCGTGTCCCCAATAGTACACAATATTGCCAAGCACTGTCTCTATGTATTGCATTTTGATGTTAAGGCTTCATTATAGTATCTTTATATCCTAAAAAAATATATTACGAATCGTCTGTCGCTACATAATCAGCTATTTGTTCGTTAGTTACTTAAATATTGAAATAAAACACTTTAACGGTTTAAAACGCGATATATTTTAGTTAATTTTGTTTGAAATGTACCTATTTTTAACTACGGCCCGACGTTTTGGACGCTTTGCAGCAGCCGTGGTCACGGGGAGACACTGTTTAAGTGTTTTATTTAAAATTGTATTTTTCGTTTAAACTACAGATAGTATTTACCTCCTTAAATATCTATATTAATATATAAAGCTGAAGAGTTTATTTGTTTGTTTGAACGCGCTTATCTCAGGAACTACGGGTCCAAATTTAAAAATTATTGTGTCGGTAAGAACATTTATGGAGGAAGGCTATAAAACATGCAAACATATCCTGTGACTAATACAAGCGAAGAGACAGCGAGAAACGTAAAAAAAATGGGAAAATTATTCATCATTATGGGCTTCCGAGGCGTACGCTGCAAAAACGGTTCAAGATACCGAAACAAATGTTTATGAAAGAATGATTCCTCTTTAAATGATCTAAAAAGTCCGCGACGCTGTGTCTAATTTTTAAGATTAACGTGCGAGAACGACGGGAAGTAACAGCTTAAGTTTATAAAGATAAAGGGGTTTGCCAAAACGAATTTGGATGCCCAAAATAACGATACTCGCGGACGAAATAGCTGATACAGCTAGTTGCTCATAAAGCTAAATATCTATAAAAGATATGTGGTAGAGAGATTGAGCCTTTTCACTCATCATTTTTGTTTCAGGCACGTAGAAAGTTATTCAAATTTGTGTTTCCTGCTATTTGGAATACGAATCTAGAATGTTTTGAGCTTGGACCATTGAATTTCTACTTAGCAATTCATTGTAAGAAGTCATGGATAATTTCGGTGCTGTCATTATTATCATATACTATAATTACAATAAATAAAAGCATTTATGATTCGAATATGATTAGTAAAGTTAATACATACCTTAGTTCAGCACTGAGTACGTCTAATTCAGGAACCCGACACCAATGATCCTGCGGTGTAGCTGTTATAAACATCTGGCCGAAGTAGGTGAACCCCCAAGCAAAGCCAAAAGGCAGCATACCAAGGAACAGTAACCGCTGGTACCATCCTAGTTCTCCAACACTGGTTATGACCGCTTCTAATGCCGTTCCTATATCTAGTTTTTCTTTATTATCCATTTATGTAGATTATTTTAGTTAGTCTTAAGATACTTCTGTAAGATAATATGGTTATTAAATGCTGTAACTATAATCTTTAAGACGACCACAAAAGCACATTCATCCAGTTAAGGGATACGTACATAGATTTTAAATCGTAGAATATCCTTAAAAGAAAATGTGAGTATTTTAAAACATTTATCACATTTCACTCAACAATTTCATTTTTAACAGCTAATTTAAGTAATATAAAAGTGCGTGCGCCTAAGCCAAATTCGCGCCTAATAATTCATACGCGTTTTAAAGTAATAATAGGAAATTAAATAATATAACGATAATTACTGTTATCGTCCCCGTTAATAATTCTTAATAATCTTATCGGAATACTTGTAGTGAAATATCTATAAGATTTATTAATAAGTAATTTTAGGACAAGACAAGAGATTGGCAAATAATGATAAATTTATACCTAATTAATGAGACTGCTGTTGCTCAGTTGCCTTATTTGCTATGCTTGAGACTCCTATGTTCAAAGCCCGGGGAGACATCAAAATATAATAGTTGCCCGTAAAATTGATAAGTCACACAGACAAGATAACCAGTACTAAAGCCCCATATAGAAGGACTTTTTTTTAACAAAAAAATTTTTCACATCTTTACGTTGCTTTAGATTTTCGAGCGCTTTATCCTCTAATGATAATATCAATACCTACGTATTAATCGACTTGATTAGAACTTGTATTGGGAAAGTGCTGATAGTTCGCTATTTGACACACTTGTGATTGATATGTGATGTTACCTTATTCTACCCATGTTTTAGCTTAAGAATTATTGTAATAAAAATTGTGTTAGTCGTTTAATAGTAAAGTAATTAATTAGCTATATAGTTTTTTGCAACCAACTGTGGTGACCAACATAATTAAGTTAAAAACAAAATCAAGTAACCAAATTTGTGTCTTTCCTTTAATATAACATTTTATTTTGTGATTTAAACTAAAAGTACAATGTTAAGTTACTACTGTAAAGAAAAATAAAACTGGCGTCACTTTTTAAATATGACGTGGTCCGTAGTTCAAACTGCTAAACAAGATGGCGCTATATTTAATTTGTAGAATTGAAGTTTTTCTTTTTTGACATTACTTTCATTTTTTGACGTATTTAGTCAACTTTCTGTCACCAAAACTCATCTTAATGTACAGAAACTTATAAGAGATGGAGCTGATTTAAATGCACATGGAAAACTATAGCGCCATCTCTTATGTTGTTACAACAAAAAAAAGGCAAATCAAAATCCAAGATGGCGCTTACATCAGTTAAGCTAATTAGGTATGCAATAAAAATGTATTAAAAAAGATTTCCACATCTTTGTTCGAAAATAATGTCCCTCTTCTTTGTGGTCGAAATACGTAATCCAATCGATAATAAAACTTAAATATAAATAACATTTTAGAACTATTAAGAATTCTATAAGTCTATTATCAAATGTCATATTATTATGATTATCACGATTTCTTTACGTAACTTTTGCAAAGAACAGTTACGTTAATAATTGCAAGTAATAACTTATATTTTCATTTACACATTTCACAAAACTATTACGACAATTTGAAATAGTAGAGATCAAAAAATCATGTTTAACTTTCTTAATTAAAAATTTCTGCTTCTGACAACAGTTTTTAATGTTGAAAGTTTGGTGAGCTTTGATCTCTTTTGCTCTTTGCTTAGTTGTAAAAGTAAATTTCAGGATAATTTAAAACAACTTTTATTCTTTTTAACATTTTACTTATGTCTACTCGCAAGTTATTACAATTTTTATAAAAGTTTAAAGTAAAAGAACATTACCAGCGCTCGTTACTCACTTTAACAAAAATTTTAACTCTTGATTTATTGGTAAAGTTTTTGACTCCGAGTTCCATTTTTAAAACTGACTCTGTAGAAGATGCCGTGACCAAATACACCTTTTCTACGGGCATGTTGGTTTTAAGATAACAATGTGTTGCTAATAAATTATCTAAAGGCTCGAATGCCCACTGGGTTCAAAATATTTTTCATCGGTTTATTTTAGATTTTGTCTCGAAATCTGGATATTAATGGGTATTAGGAATATTTAAAATTAGAATTTATTTAATTCTGTCCGAGTTAAGAACCACGTCCTCAGATGAAGAAGCCCTAAAGTTACCTTTGGTTTCAGGCTGAAGACTTCTAAATGTCCAACGCCAAATTAGGTAAACAGCGCAATCTTGTTTAGACGTTTTATGGCTGGGATATTTCGCCAAGTGACCTCCATGCTTAAATGTCAAAAAAAAATTCTGAAAATCACAAGAAAAAGAACAGCTGTATTGTCATTAAAAATTTTAGATGGTGGGTCTCGAACCAACGACGCACATTGCACATAGACTATGTGAGTTTATTTTTATTTATTTATACATGAATGAAAAACTTACAGAGAGTACAATATGATAGACTAAATAGATATCCGAAAGTCAATTAAAAAATAGAAGAAATTAAAACTTAAAATAGAAGTTATTAAGTTAAGTCATTATTCATTGTGTTAGCTTATGATTTACTATAAGAACTATGATTGAACAAATTATTAAAAAATTAATACACGAGACGTGTCCGTATGCAGAGATGCAAAGAGTGAGGCTCAACCGAACTCATTAAAAGTCCAAGAGTCCTCCTGCATCCTATTTGAAGTCGGGTTGGGGCACGGAGGGCTAGGTTAAGAGAACATCACGTGCAGTTTTTTTTCAATATGGCGATAAGATTCTGAATACTAAGTCTTTGATATCAGGTCATTTGTTCGTATAAAAGATTAGACAAATAGAATAATGTATCGGCGCTTTAAACCGTACAATGTTTTCAACCGTTCGGAGTACACTGCGAGACAAAGGCCTCCTCCCCAATAGACTTCCAGTTCGACCGGTCATTCGCTAGTTAAATCCAGCGTTTCCCTGCTACCTTAACCAGGTCGTCGGTTCATCTGGTAGGAGGTCATCAGGTTTTCGACGTTCACTCCGAAACCTTTTTGCCCTAACGGCCGTCACATCTACGATCGATGTGCCCAGCCCATTGCTACTTCAGCTTGCTAATTCGATGAGCTATATCAGTGACTTTAGTTCTCCTGCGAATCTCCTCATTCCTGATTCGATCACACAGGGTAAATCATACCATAGCCCTTTCCATTGCACGCTAAGCGCGTAGTGTGTGTACAATGCTCGCGGTAGTAGACCATGTTTCAGTACCGTACGTCATCACTGGTAACACACACTGCTGAAACACTTTAGTTTTAAGGCACTGAAGTATACAATAATTTACTTGTAATTGAAAAAGAGAATTCGTAATTTCAAAGTATTACAGGTCAATGTGTGTGAAATCCCGTTTCCCTCGATTGGTAATGGAGCAAACACATTTCTGTGTCCGTTTCATTAATCGGTTTCATTGACAAGCCTGTAGTTGATCAGACTTTGTGGGCCCGATCAAAACAATCCATTATTTCCCCGATATTCGAACCCAAGAACTATCGCGCTTAACGCAATGCTAGGCACCACGTTTAACCATTTAGCTACAGAAGCGGTCAATATTCAGTACTAAATATTAGATCAAGCAACATACTTAGTAACACACTTTCAGAAAAGCTAACAACATTTCCACCGTTTCTCATTACGTACTAACTAACTCTGTTTATCTTTGAACATAAATAATTAATGATTTAGTAAAGCGTGTTTCCCGTTAAGATAATATAAATTAAGGTTTTTAATTTAGATCATCTTAACGTTCGTTAGTTGAGGACACTTGAAAAGTTGTTCTGTGAATAGCTTCATAACTGCATAAACCAAAAGTTTTAAGGGTGTTATATAAATATCGTTATTAACTTCGCAAAAGGATTTTCTATCGAGAAAACTTTGACACAGGACTCGTGACAAAGGGTAATTATTAAGAGATAACTTATTTAAAGTCTTATATTTGTTGTATCAAATTGTTTTTATAAGATTGCAAAAAACGAGACATAAAGGGCGCTTAAAAGTAATTAATTATAAAAACAACAATGCCGTACAAAGAAACAGGTTTTTGAATACCTGTTTCTTTCCGTCTCAAGAACCTACTTATTTTGACTTTAAAATCTACTACTTCCCTACTAAATTAGTGTCCAGTTTACGCGATTAGTAGTCTCCACCATCAGTTAGTGACCAAGGCTTCTGCAAAGCATCCGAAACGCCGGGCCGTAAAATCATTTTCGACAAAGTGTACCTAATATATATAGCGTTTTAAACCGTTAACGTGTTTTATTTAAACTTAAAGAGTTTATTTAAAATTTTGGCCTACTCAACTTATTAGCAAGTTCAATCAAATCATACTGTTTGACCAAACACTAAATTTACTGCTTTGTGTACCTTATATGATTAGAATTCCGTAAGAATATATTGCATACACCAAAGTGTGATGAGATATATTTTTTTAATATGGTCTTTTTTTTTTTGTGAATTTCGGAAAGTTTAGTTATTTCACAATTTCTGTTTCAATTCTAATAAAGAATCAATTTACGACATCGTTCAATTTCTTTGTTTCAAAATAACATTGGCAGAATGAGACAAATAAATTAAAAGAATATATATTTACGTACAATAGCGCCGCCTCATTTGTGATTCCTCTCAACTCTGCACAAAATAAACTGGAACGTACGCGGTGTGGCCACGAAATTTGAGGTGTAAATTACTAATTTAGTTAGACAAATGTATATACCGACAATTTTTTCTTATTATTTAATTTTTCAGTTAAAATTTCAGACAAATAAAAAGCTAAATAAATCCAACTCTTATGACGAGCAGGAAAATTTTAACAGGAAGATCACTCACTTTCTGTGTGACTCATAAACTTAATAAGACCTTGTTATTTAGTTAGACTATTATACGAAATTAAACAAAATACTGGATACCGGGCCAACAAAACAAATGTTTAGATGTTTTACTAAGCAATGTTTTAGAATAGTTTTTTTTTGAGAATTTATTTATGAGTTACAT